CAGATGCCTTCTGTCATGCTGTGACGTGGGTGGGTCATGCTCTTAGTGCCACAGTTTGTTGTATGTAACTGTCTTAGTGACACACTGGGATATATGAAGAGCATCAATGATAGATTTAAGGTGAGTGTTGTATCAGGTTCATCAGATGCCTTTGTGTCATGCTGTGACGTGGGTGGGTCATGCTCTTAGTGCCACAGTTTGTTGTATGTAACTGTCTTAGTGACACACTGGGATGTATGAAGAGCATCAATGATAGATTTAAGGTGAGTGTTGTATCAGGTTTTATCAGATGTCTTCGTGTCATGCTGTGACGTGGGTGGGTCATGCTCTTAGTGCCACAGTTTGTTGTATGTAACTGTCTTAGTGACACACTGGGATATATGAAGAGCATCAATGATAGATTTAAGGTGAGTGTTGTATCAGGTTCATCAGATGTCTTCGTGTCATGCTGTGACGTGGGTGGGTCATGCTCTTAGTGCCACAGTTTGTTGTATGTAACTGTCTTAGTGACACACTGGGATATATGTTACTGTCTTAGTGACACACTGGGATATATGAGGATATATGTAACTGTCATAGTGACACACTGGGATATATGAAGAGCATCAATGATAGATTTAAGGTGAGTGTTGTATCAGGTTCATCAGATGCCTTCTTGTCATGCTGTGACGTGGGTGGGTCATGCTCTTAGTGCCACAGTTTGTTGTATGTAACTGTCTTAGTGACACACTGGGATATATGAGGATATATGTAACTGTCTTAGTGACACACTGGGATATATGAAGAGCATCAATGATAGATTTAAGGTGAGTGTTGTATCAGGTTCATCAGATGCCTTCTTGTCATGCTGTGACGTGGGTGGGTCATGCTCTTAGTGCCACAGTTTGTTGTATGTAACTGTCTTAGTGACACACTGGGATATATGAGGATATATGTAACTGTCTTAGTGACACACTGGGATATATGAAGAGCATCAATGATAGATTTAAGGTGAGTGTTGTATCAGGTTCATCAGATGCCGTGACGTGGGTGGGTCATGTACTTAGTGCCACAGTTTGTTGTATTTAACTGTCTTAGTGACACACTGGGATATATGAAGAGCATCAATGATAGATTTAAGGTGAGTGTTGTATCAGGTTCAACAGATGCCTTCTTGTCATGCTGTGACGTGGGTGGGTCATGCTCTTAGTGCCACAGTTTGTTGTATGTAACTGTCTTAGTGACACACTGGGATATATTAGGATATATGTAACTGTCTTAGTGACACACTGGGATATATGAAGAGCATCAATGATAGATTTAAGGTGAGTGTTGTATCAGGTTCATCAGATGCCTTCTTGTCATGCTGTGACGTGGGTGGGTCATGCTCTTAATGCCACAGTTTGTTGTATGTAACTGTCTTAGTGACACACTGGGATATATGAGGATATATGTAACTGTCTTAGTGACACACTGGGATATATGAAGAGCATCAATGATAGATTTAAGGTGAGTGTTGTATCAGGTTCATCAGATGCCGTGACGTGGGTGGGTCATGTACTTAGTGCCACAGTTTGTTGTATTTAACTGTCTTAGTGACACACTGGGATATATGAGGATATATGTAACTGTCTTAGTGACACACTGGGATATATGAAGAGCATCAATGATAGATTTAAGGTGAGTGTTGTATCAGGTTCATCAGATGCCTTCTTGTCATGCTGTGACGTGGGTGGGTCATGCTCTTAGTGCCACAGTTTGTTGTATGTAACTGTCTTAGTGACACACTGGGATATATGAAGAGCATCAATGATAGATTTAAGGTGAGTGTTGTATCAGGTTCATCAGATGCCTTCTTGTCATGCTGTGACGTGGGTGGGTCATGCTCTTAATGCCACAGTTTGTTGTATGTAACTGTCTTAGTGACACACTGGGATATATGAGGATATATGTAACTGTCTTAGTGACACACTGGGATATATGAAGAGCATCAATGATAGATTTAAGGTGAGTGTTGTATCAGGTTCATCAGATGCCTTCTTGTCATGCTGTGACGTGGGTGGGTCATGCTCTTAATGCCACAGTTTGTTGTATGTAACTGTCTTAGTGACACACTGGGATATATGAGGATATATGTAACTGTCTTAGTGACACACTGGGATATATGAAGAGCATCAATGATAGATTTAAGGTGAGTGTTGTATCAGGTTCATCAGATGCCGTGACGTGGGTGGGTCATGTACTTAGTGCCACAGTTTGTTGTATTTAACTGTCTTAGTGACACACTGGGATATATGAAGAGCATCAATGATAGATTTAAGGTGAGTGTTGTATCAGGTTCATCAGATGCCTTCTTGTCATGCTGTGACGTGGGTGGGTCATGCTCTTAATGCCACAGTTTGTTGTATGTAACTGTCTTAGTGACACACTGGGATATATGAGGATATATGTAACTGTCTTAGTGACACACTGGGATATATGAAGAGCATCAATGATAGATTTAAGGTGAGTGTTGTATCAGGTTCATCAGATGCCTTCTTGTCATGCTGTGACGTGGGTGGGTCATGCTCTTAGTGCCACAGTTTGTTGTATGTAACTGTCTTAGTGACACACTGGGATATATGAGGATATATGTAACTGTCTTAGTGACACACTGGGATATATGAAGAGCATCAATGATAGATTTAAGGTGAGTGTTGTATCAGGTTCATCAGATGCCTTCTTGTCATGCTGTGACGTGGGTGGGTCATGCTCTTAATGCCACAGTTTGTTGTATGTAACTGTCTTAGTGACACACTGGGATATATGAGGATATATGTAACTGTCTTAGTGACACACTGGGATATATGAAGAGCATCAATGATAGATTTAAGGTGAGTGTTGTATCAGGTTCATCAGATGCTGTGACGTGGGTGGGTCATGTACTTAGTGCCACAGTTTGTTGTATGTAACTGTCTTAGTGACACACTGGGATATATGAAGAGCATCAATGATAGATTTAAGGTGAGTGTTGTATCAGGTTCATCAGATGCCTTCTTGTCATGCTGTGACGTGGGTGGGTCATGCTCTTAGTGCCACAGTTTGTTGTATGTAACTGTCTTAGTGACACACTGGGATATATGAGGATATATGTAACTGTCTTAGTGACACACTGGTATATATGAAGAGCATCAATGATAGATTTAAGGTGAGTGTTGTATCAGGTTCATCAGATGCCTTCTTGTCATGCTGTGACGTGGGTGGGTCATGCTCTTAGTGCCACAGTTTGTTGTATGTAACTGTCTTAGTGACACACTGGGATATATGAGGATATATGTAACTGTCTTAGTGACACACTGGGATATATGAAGAGCATCAATGATAGATTTAAGGTGAGTGTTGTATCAGGTTCATCAGATGCCTTCTTGTCATGCTGTGACGTGGGTGGGTCATGCTCTTAGTGCCACAGTTTGTTGTATGTAACTGTCTTAGTGACACACTGGGATATATGAGGATATATGTAACTGTCTTAGTGACACTGTGATATATGTAACTGTCATAGTGACACACTGGGATATATGAGGATATACGTAAGTTTTATAGTGACACACTGGGATATATGTAACTGTCATAGTGACACACTGGGATATACAAGGATATACGTAAGTGTCATAGTGACACACTGGGATATATGTAACTGTCATAGTGACACACTGGGATATACAAGGATATACGTAAGTGTCATAGTGACACACTGAGATATATGTAACTGTCATAGTGACACACTGGGATATACAAGGATATACGTAAGTGTCATAGTGACACACTGAGATATATGTAACTGTCATAGTGACACACTGGGATATACAAGGATATACGTAAGTGTCATAGTGACACACTGAGATATATGTAACTGTCATAGTGACACACTGGGATATCCAAGAATATACGTAAGTGTCATAGTGACACTGGGATATATGTTACTGTCATAGTGACACTGGGATATACAAGGATATGCGTGGCATAGTGACACACTGGGATATATGTTACTGTCATAGTGACACTGGGATATACAAGGATATACGTGTCATAGTGACACACTGGGATATATGAGAATATACCACTACGTAAGTGTCATACTGTTGAAAGCTGTAGTAAACACAACTCTCAGTTTTTCTTGTCATGTCATGTCAGAGTACAATGTGTTAAGAGTTTGTTACCTGTTTAATAGAAACAATTCAGTTATTACATTGCAGATATATCAGATATGTTTAATGTCATTAGGATCGCATTGTTAGATTATTATCCCCTGCCCGGAGAGGTCGTCCCTCCTTCCGTCCATCCGCTTCTCAATGTAGACAAATTTTCTCAAAAACTATTCCAAGTTATGGAAATGAAAGTTTACACACTAATGTGACTGGTCCCGATCTCAAATGAGTTTGAAAATTGGTGTCGTACATTCATTTTTTACAGAGTTATGGCCCTTGCGCATTCTTTGTGCTTTGTGCATTCTGTGTGAAATGGGGACGAGTTTTCTCAGAAGCTAATGAAGTTATATGAATGAAAATTTATATGCTTATCTGAGTGATACTTGTCAAGACAAGAAAATTGGTCCCGTCATTTACTTTTTTCCAGCATTGTGCCCTTGCATCGTGCTTTTCAACTTACTGCAATGTGTGTATAATGGGGACACGTTCTCTCAGACACTGCTGAAGTCAGCTTATCTAAGAGACACTTATCAAGACTGAGTTATTTTTTCCAGAGAAGGGGCCTTTTGTGTGTATTAATTTCACTTGTAATAATTTTTTCTGATGACATAAAGTGGCCCAATTTCCTATATCTTTTTAAGGCTTTATTGGACTTTTCTTTATTGTTTTTATTCACTACTATATGTACAAACATAATTCTAATGTGCCCCATGGCGGGGGATAGTGATAGCGCTGTTTTCTTGTTATGGGATGGATTAGTCAGTTTGTGTTTATAAGTATGTAGACTCATGGTAAGCAGAGGCATGTTGATATTGATACTCTTCCTTGTTTCAGACTTACGCCGACATGGAAGATGAGAAACAAAAGTAAGTTGTTTGAAAAACGAGGCTCGTGCCGGTTGATGTTGTCTGAGTATGATAGAGAATTGCCATTCATTACTGTGTTGCAGAGGGAGCTTAGTGAAGATAGACACCTTGATATTACCATAGTGACTTTAACCCATTATCTGTCCCTTGTGAACTGCTTTTGCAACTTCCAAGAGAGATCATGCTAAAAAAAATAATAGTCTTGGTTCTTAGCACCGCCCGCATCATCAAATAGTCTGCCGCATGTTTCATTTATAATTCCATTTTAAATTTTTTTTTTCTTAAATCCTAATACTTAAAAACAATTTGATCCAATATAGCACACAGTTACTTCCCTTTACATACGCACTGCTTTACTGCACATCTCATGTTGTCGTCACGAGGAGTTTGTATGCTTTTGTGTGGAGAGGCCCTTTCCCAGGTTGATGGTACACAACTGTTCATCTTGTTACATACTGGTTTGAACAAGCAAAAAAATAAAGACCCTGCCGGCCTGCACTATATTTTCAAAACTCATTGCTTGAGAACCAATTATTTTATTTTTTTAAGCCTTATTCTTTTATTATGTAGAAAACTGGGTTTCCTGGTCTCAGTAGGAGACGTCAGCTCAGTGAGTCTCTTGTTGGAACGAGGTCACTCGGTGAGACTTACTGAAGATAATTGCACCTATGTCTGTGTTGTTTATGCCATTCTTCCTGCTGCAGGGCCAATGAGAAGGCAGAGAAGGATCGGCTGAAGAAGCTCCAGTCTAAGATGGAGATAGACAGCTACGCCGAGTGTTACCCAGGGTGAGTTGGACAGGTCACATGATGTAAAGTTAGCAGGTAGTGTGGTGAAAGTAGAGCAACACGCCCCACTGGACACTCCCCCATCTCACACATGTCAGCGTCGACTGCCTCCGTGGTCTAGTGGTAGAGCGTCCGCCCAGAGAGCGGAAGGTCTGGGGTTCTATCCCCGGTCGCGTCATACCAAAAGATGTTAAAAGATGGTACTTGTTACCCTGTCTGGCGTTCGGCATTAAGGGGCTAAAACAAGGACTGGTCGGCTCGGTGTATACTGTGTCTGAGTAGGATATTCATGTTAAACTGCGGCATGGTATCTCAGTGAGCTAGCACTATAAATTGGCATCAGTCCGGACTAGTACAAGCAGCCACACAAACACACACACGTACATGCACGTCGCTATATAAGTGCAATAATCTTGGACGCGACGTTAAACCCCATTTCACCTCACCTCACCTCACCTCACATTTCAGCGTCCACAGTGTAGCAGAGCATGAGATTTGTATGCTGGAAATGATGAACCTAATACAAGAGCTTCCACTTGCTGGATAATATGTGACATGTTTGTCTGGACGTACTGGAGCTTATCACATCAGTGTCACTGCACCTACTGGAAACAGTTCTTGAAGGAACAGAACCCTGTTAGATTCACAGATAGAGATACTGGCATTAATTTCACAATATATTTAATGTTCTGGTCACTTTGGTTTACTGGTGCAATTAATGAATATCATGTCAGAGTTACAGTAGGTACTTTCTTACAGTCGTGTGGGAGTTGCAGTGTAAACATGTCTTCCCATCCACGATATGGATCGAGTAGTTTTGTTGTGTGTCGGCACTCTTGTGGAAGTACCAAGTTCTATTACAGTTGTTAAGTTGCTTGCATGTCAATATGAAGTGTTCTTGTTGTAGGATGGTGGAAGCCTTTGATGCCATTGACGAGTCGGACGATGAGGTTGACTACACCAAGATGGACCAGGGCAACAAGAAAGGTCCGATCGGCCGCTGGGACTTCGACACCCAGGAGGAATACAGCGATTACATGTCCAACAAGGAAGCCCTGCCCAAGTACGTGTCTAGTAGCCAAACTGTGCTTTATTTACTTTGATGTTCAACAGGGCCTAGTTGATAAGCAATTCCCCATGGGGAGTCTGGGTCAGAATAGGTCCCCATGAAGGTCCCCATGAAGGTCCCCATGAAGGTCCCCTGGTCAGCCTCGGTGCATTGGTTGCCATCTTTCCCCCACTGCGTGGACCATTGTTCACAATATCAATCACTGGATTGTCTGATCCAGACTCAATTATTTACAGGCCACCATCCTATTGCTGGAATATTGCTGAGTGAAGTGTTAAGCAACAAACAAGAAACAATCTGTTTCAAGTGAAGTTTGTTAACATCCCAATGTTCAAACTGAATGGAATCGAGTCTGGACCAGACAGTCCAGTGATTGATGTCATGGACAACATCCCATGCCATTGGGTTATGATGACATGCAGTCAGCCAGGGCATGGTGTTGGTGGGGAAGATATTAACAACAAAATAGAATTGTTTTTCTTAAAGTTTTAACATAACAGTAAATAATAACAGTTAATGTTTTAAAATGTTTAATCATTATTTTGGGGTTATTTCAATGGATTCCCTCCCTTGCCTTTAAGTATTTTTCATCCATGAAATAAGTAACACACTTGGCAGGATTTCTAAGATCGGTGGATCCATTCTCCAAGAATATCTGCCTGAAGCTATCAATACAATGGAGATTTCAGTTTTAGTTGTCAAGACAAGACACATAATTTGTGCTGAGTTGTTGAGTTGCTGATCATGAATATTGTTGTATTTTCAGAGCTGCCTTCCAATATGGTGTTAAAATGGCTGATGGTCGCCGAACTCGGAGGACAGGTCCAAAGGATGAGAAAGCCAAGTTGGACCGCGAACTGCAGCAGATCAACCGCATTATCCAGAAGAGGAAGGTGGCGGAGCCGGGGGATGGGGAGAAACGCATCAAGTACTGAAGTCTCCCCTGGTGTCAGTATTTGTACAGTGACAATGTCAGCAGGATTGTGATGTGCTGTGCCCTGCTCGTCCTGATGTGTTGTGACAGGGCGTTGTCATAGGAACAGTGCAGAGCAGGGCATGCAGATGTTGTAGCACCAGACTGAGGACATGCTTCCACCGTTGCAGTCACCATGGTTTGTCAAACCCGGGAATCATGTCCTAACGATATCATGGGGCTGTGATGCTGGTTCATCTGGCCTGCTTGTGCCCAAGTCGCTTCATGTCTTATGATCCAAATCTGAAGGGGAATTAGAGTCATTCATTTACAAATGAAAACTGCCATTACCGGACCAGAGGGAAACTGAATGTGTTTGTTCTAAGATTTACTTTGTCACTTCACCATTGGGATGTTATCGGCCCAGGCTGATGACCCTGAATGCCCCAGTGTGATGCAGGTTTAACTCTGCTACAATTTCAGAATGAAATCGTACAATTGTATACATGTTACCAGCTTCTTGAATAAATGATTAAATACAAGTCTTGTATATTTTGTGTACCATTTATGCTCCATTAATCAGTAGATTGAAATACCTGTAGCACCCAATTGCCAAGCTAGTAATGTTTTCTTCCATTTGTCTGTGTGATTGTCGAGTAGATGGTGATGCACTAGTCCTGTAGTCCTTACCAAACTGCCCAATAGTAAAGGTATCCTAAGGACTAGTATAAATTGGCCCATATTAAGGGTTTTGCTATATGTTATCATTATAAGGACTAGTGGGCAAAAACTGCTAGTTTCTAACCCTGGTAAGTGATTAAAATGTGTCAATGATGAGTACTGGTACCATACGTTGTAGATCTGACAAGTCAGTGTCTTCCGGTATGACTGTCTGCCATTTGCTACATTCACCTGGAGCAATACAATGTAGTTTTTTTCAGAAAAAGAGTTTGATGTTTACATAAGCCGATCCCTTTCTACAGAATCTTTTGTCTAGATCTCGAAATCTACAGTCATATACGGTATGCTTTCAGATGAATACTTATGATGGAGATGCCTTTCCAGCGATAGAAACTAGTCTTTGTAATGATTACATATAGCAAACCCCTTAAACTATTGGGCAGTTTGGCAAGGACTACAGGATTTGTGCCAATTTCTAACGCTGCTTTCTAGTTGTGTCAGCATTGGTTCCTCCAGTCTGCAGGTTGTCCACTAGATCACACGGACCGGCAGTTTCATGTTGGGCTTGTGCCTAACTTACCGGTTCACAAGATGACAAAGTGAATGATCTGCTGGAAGCATTGGTTTTATTCATGGTTGTCTGTACAATCATATCAATATTTACATCTAAATGTGACACGCAAACCATGATACCGGATAGAAGTTACAGACAGAAGAAAGACCGACAGGACAGCATAAAGACGCAATGTCAAATACACCACTCAATCTTGGACAGGAAAACTGCTAGCAAGTTTATTCTCCTTGCCATTCCAGTTGTTGAGGATATAATTCATGTTTCACAGCCAAGATACAAACACTACCAACTGTAGTCATCAAGCAGACTCTCTTTCCACAGCAGTTTCAGCATTCATACTTGGAATGGACAACATCCCTATGCATCCATGATCATGACTGCATTTACTTGCATGAAATAGGACAGTGTAAATTTTTATAATAATTATAACATTTGAAAAGCAGTTAATAAGTGAGTCAGTATAGTTTTGCTTTTAGCAATATCATGGCTGGGGACACCGGAAATGGGATACCCATGTGGGGAATTGAACCCGGGCCTTCGGTGTGACAAGCAAACGCTTTAAAGACTGTGCTACCTCATAACCCCAGTATCTGGGTTATGGAATGACACAATTATTGTTGACAGCAGAGTGGCAAGACTGAGTTGTGAGTTGGTTTAATGCTATTGTGAACAGTATCTTGGTGTGTCAGTCTAATGTGTGAGGGAGTCCAGAGTGACGCAGGGCGGAGGTGTTTACCACGACTGAGGAAGCCACGAGGAGGAGGGAATGGTGCTGACACACCAGTGATAGTTGGGCCAAATCTGAGATTTCAGCCTATCACTTGTGGATCCTGACACAACTAAGGGATGCAACTCTGCACAGCGAATTGTATTGCCTTACACCACTTAGCCACTAATGTCCCTCGTGAGTTGTGAACGTTTGTGTTTCATTCAGCAAATAATCCTGTACATATTTACAAACAAATGTTACAATTAGAAATGAAAAAAAGTAGATTTCATGTGACAAAAGCACCCATTCCTCATAAATTACAGACACAAGGTGATAATGTGTGATTGACGTATGTACAAGGCGTGTATATTTCAGTGACGGGAATAATGTCATCAGTCTTATACATAACTCCGATGACAGTCAAAATGAGAAATCAGCCGATATCTTCGTGTTGGTGAGATATATGTCATGATAAATCATGTGGAACAGCACAACCGATTCAAATTTCACATGAAACTGTTTATAGTTGACGCATTTCAACACTGTTTAAGTGGTACAAAAACATGCGAACCTATAAAAAAGCAATACTTTTTTTCCTGTAACATTTATATAACAGCACTTCAAAAGATAGCTGTAAGCATACCTTCACCTTAGGGCTGGGACAAGTCTAAATTTACTACTCCACTTTACCCTACCCTACCCGGGAACCCGCAGTAGTTGGTAACAAAATGTCTGATTGGGAATAGTTTTACCACAGCCCTGGCAAAAACTATTCAGACACATGTATCAAACGATCAGATCATGCATACACTGAAGTTGACTGAAGCTTTATCTTTACTCAAACATATACAAGTCAAAAGGAATGTTTGAATCGCCAGAAATGTGAACATAAGCGACTTGTAGTGTAACCACTGAGCTATAGTGAGTTTTTTTCATTAAACAATATATCACATGACCAAACACGAGTCCGAGAAGTCCTGTTGGTACCCAGGTCAGTACCAACCCAACCCGAGTACCTGAGTTACCCGTCCCAGCGCTACTTCACTTATCTGTTAATGTGTTCTACACCGTAACCATCATGTACATAAGGTCTGCATTACACAGCTATCCAGTCTTTCAGCATCTAAAAGATACATGTAGTATGTTTCCAGATCATTATTCAATGAAATCAACTCATCAAACCAGATCATTTAATCAGAGATGAACTTGTTCAAGTTCTGCCGAACATGAAATCTGCTTCCTTCCATGTAGGACTGTGTTCATGTTGGTAGAACATAAAGTTGTCACAGTTTCCACGATTGAAGAGAATGACATTGAGGGACCACGACAAATTTAGACATTGCATGTTCTCCCAGAAATACGCAGCTATACTGATGGTAATATATCGTGCTCAGCATTGATCTAACACTTAGTCTCCCATCTTCCAGAGGGATGAGTGTTAACTGACATCGATCTGATTGATGATCAAGATATATTATGATGAAACGGATCTTACATCGCGAAGTGCATCAATCACGTCAGCACCTTGATTAAAAATTTCTGTTGATGAGTTGGTGGTGCACATGCTTTGCAAATTCAGCAATCGACCAAAATCTGCATGACAGTTTACAAACAGGATTTCGATTTTGTTGCACTTTTTTTTAATGGACTATGCATAGACTCGTTAGTCCAGCCAAAATGTAACTCCATAATACCAGCCTAGTTCGGCAAGGATGGAAACTGGACTTTTACAGTCAGTTAACTCTCTTGCCTCGGGAAGATGTTAGTGTCCGTGCTGATCACTGTTCTCCTGGAAGGTGTTTTCATGACCTACTTGTTGTCAGGGAAACAACATATTTGTAGCAGTCTTGACGGCAGTTCATGCCAGGGGTGTAAACAGACTCGACCTGTTAGAGTTGTGAAGCTTCCTCTTCTTCTTCACCCCGCCGCCCAGCGTGGTGGAGCGGATGCTGTCATCGCCGTCGCTGGGTTCACTGCCTCGTTTTGTCACCATCGATGCCCTGGGCTTTGGCTTCTCAAATTCATCGGAGCTGCGCGTTGTGTTGTCCGTGGACTCGATGGCCTGGAAGATTCGCCGAGACTTGCCTGTCTTGAGCTGTTGAACATCTACCGGCGTGTCTTCACTGGTCTTGGACTTGTCCTCATCAAAACTGAAGGTGCTGTTGAGTGAAGACTGGGAAGTTGCCTGGCAACACAAGGGAAGACATGACAGCGTGTTATAGATTCTGTTGTTTAACGCCGCACTCAGCAATATTCCAGCTATATGACGGCGGTCTGTAAATAATCAAGTCTGAACCAGACAATCCAGTGATTAATATGAGCATCGATCCACGCAATTGGGATCGATGACGTGCATCAATTAAGTCAGCGAGCCTGACCACCCGATCCCGTTAGTCGCCTTTTACGACCAGCATAGTCGCCTTTTATGGCATGCATGGGTTGCTGAAAACCTATTCTACCCTGAATCAGGGCTAGAACCAAGTGCTTGGTATCATAAACAACATTGTGGATATAATGAGCACCGCCCCCCAGCCTTGAGGTTATTCAAGAACTGTTTTTCATTTTTTGGGCATGCATAGAAGTATAACAGTCACAAATTTGATAAAATCGTGTAGCTTAGCAGAGAAATTTAATGAAACATTTGTGATTGTTATACTTCGATGCATGCACAGAAAATAAAAATAACAATTCTTAAATTACAAAATCGACTCTTATCTGACATATTTACTCTATTTATCAGGTTTGTTGACAAATCTGCTGCACATCGTAACACGTGCAAGAATACAAGAATACAACTTAAACGCTATGTCATACAGTTTTCAAAATTCGAGGTAGTCAAATTGCCATGAGAAGCAGAAAGTGATTTTCAAGTCTGCTGGGGACATCTGGGCCTAAAAGTTTTAGTCTGCATTGGAAATGTGGCGGCCAGCACTCAACGTCTAGTGTCAGGACAGTTGATGTTTGAGGAAACAAGGGATTTGTAGGTAGTTTGGTGAGCAAGTAATAAGTATATCACGTATATTGTAGCGATAATTTATCAATTTGTGACAGTTACACTTAGATGCATGCACAAAAAATTAAAATATGAAATGGAACTTTTACGAAAAATCCGTTGGCATTCCGGAAGGGAATATTGTCATCAAGCTATGTATGGACGTAAACAAGGTCGATGTCATTTAGAAAGTAGTACCGTCACTTCCAGGAAAATGTGCATTTATGATGTACTTATTGAATATATATGCAAGTTTCTGGGAGCTCTCGACCAATCAGAATTGCCAGAATCAACACAGCCTTACCACCTGAACCAGTTCAGTTGCCCGTAAGAATAAGCATAGTTACTGGGATCTTCACACACTGTACTCATGGGGAATCCAAACCAGGGCTGCAGTGTCACGAGTGAACACCCTTACAACTAGGCTACCCAGCCACATTTTTTAACAAATGAAAGCCTTCAATAGGTTACAGTCAACTAAATAGGGTTTACCCAAACCAGGGTTCCCAACACACCAGAGTGGCACTTGTTTGTATCACTGCAGGGTTTGAAAACTTATGAAAACTGTGACTTGACCAAGGACAAGTATCACCAACATTCTTATTTGCCCTATTTTAAAATGTACTTGCCCAAAATCAAGGTAATAAATTCAGTAAAATGTTACAGAACTATATAATTTGGTATTTTTTAACCCTTGCACTGCTAATGACCGCTATCAGTTTGTGGTAGTTCATTCACATGTGACGAGAGCCCCACTGCACAGGTACGCGACCATGACCTTGAAATCTTACCTTCCTTCCTTTTGTCTGTTTGGTTGTTTTCTTTGCCTTGGCTTTTGCTTTGAAGATGGGGGTTCGCGTCCAGTCCTCGTCGCTAGTGTCTTCTTCCACCATGACATCATCATCCCACTCATCCATGAATTCATCATACGTCAGAGCTGCCTGGTTCTCTGCTGCCGCTGTCGACTTCTGAAACATGTGACCACCAGATGAGACGCTTCAGATGTGACACTCTAGATGAGACAACCTATATCAGACAATCCTCCATTAGACTCTAGATGAGACAATCCTCCATGAGACACTCTTGATGAGACAATCCTCCATGAGATGCTCTAGGTTAGACAATCCTCCATGAGACACTCTAGATGAGACAATCCTCCATGAGATGCTCTAGGTTAGACAATCCTCTATGAGACGCTCAAGATGAGACAATCCTCCATGAGACGCTCAAGATGAGACAATCCTCCGAGAGACTTTAGATGAAAAAATCCTCTATAAAGTTTGTTATTTAACGCCACACTCAGCAATATTCAAGCTATATGACAGCTTATCCTCCATGAGACACCCTAAATAACACAATCCCGGATGAAACACCCTAAATTACACAATCCTAGATGAGACACCCTAACAGATATAATATCGAGACAATGCTAGATGAGACACCCTAAATAACACAATCCTAGATGAGACACCCTAACAGCTATAATATCGAGACACTGCTAGATGAGACACCCTAACAGCTATAATATCGAGACACTGCTAGATGAGACAGCCAAGACAAGAGAATGGCAGATGGGAAATTCCGAGATGAAACATCAGTTTTGTATGACTGGCTTTGCTCACTTTGTGACTGACATCTCAGTATCATTGGTCATGTGACAGTTACAAAATGACTTCAAGTTTTGTGTTCATACACAAAACCCAATAAACTGCAAACATGCACCTATCAATGACAAGAACATGAATGTTGTGACTGCTAGGTTACTCCATGACATTACACTAGCTTCTGACTGACAATACAATACAGTTTCAGCCAAGGCAATATGATCAAGATATGAATAAAATGTACCTGACTCACAAAGCAAGACTATCCACAACTAACTGGACGAGGGTCACATGACAATGTACATATCTCACAAAGCAAGACTATCCACATCTAACTAGACAAGGGTCACATGACAATGTACCTACTACACAAAGCAAGACTATCCACAACTAACTAGACAAGGGTCATATGACAATGTACCTACTACACAAAGCAAGACTATCCACAACTAACTAGACAAGGGTCACATGACAATGTACATATCACACAAAGCAAGACTATCCACAACTAACTAGACAAGGGTCATATGACAATGTACATATCACACAAAGCAAGACTATCCACAACTAACTAGACAAGGGTCACATGACAATGTACATATCACACAAAGCAAGACTATCCACAACTAACTAGACAAGGGTCATATGACAATGTACATATCACACAAAGCAAGACTATCCACAACTAACTAGACAAGGGTCATATGACAATGTACATATCACACAAAGCAAGACTATCCACAACTAACTGGACAAGGGTCACATGACAATGTACATATCACACAAAGCAAGACTATCCACAACTAACTGGACAAGGGTCACATGACAATGTACATATCACACAAAGCAAGACTATCCACAACTAACTAGACAAGGGTCATATGACAATGTACATATCACACAAAGCAAGACTATCCACAACTAACTAGACAAGGGTCATATGACAATGTACATATCACACAAAGCAAGACTATCCACAACTAACTGGACAAGGGTCATATGACAATGTACATATCACACAAAGCAAGACTATCCACAACTAACTGGACAAGGGTCATATGACAATGTACATATCACACAAAGCAAGACTATCCACAACTAACTGGACAAGGGTCATATGACAATGTACATATCACACAAAGCAAGACTATCCACAACTAACTAGACAAGGGTCACATGACAATGTACATATCACACAAAGCAAGACTATCCACAACTAACTAGACAAGGGTCATATGACAATGTACATATCACACAAAGCAAGACTATCCACAACTAACTGGACAAGGGTCATATGACAATGTACATATCACACAAAGCAAGACTATCCACAACTAACTGGACAAGGGTCATATGACAATGTACATATCACACAAAGCAAGACTATCCACAACTAACTGGACAAGGGTCACATGACAATGTACATATCACACAAAGCAAGACTATCCACAACTAACTAGACAAGGGTCACATGACAATGTACATATCACACAAAGCAAGACTATCCACAACTAACTAGACAAGGGTCACATGACAATGTACATATCACACAAAGCAAGACTATCCACAACTAACTGGACAAGGGTCACATGACAATGTACATATCACACAAAGCAAGACTATCCACAACTAACTGGACAAGGGTCACATGACAATGTACATATCACACAAAGCAAGACTATCCACAACTAACTGGACAAGGGTCATATGACAATGCCGTCACTCACCTTCTGCCTTGTCTTGGGCTTGAGGACGGGGCTGAGGAAGGGAGAGGACCCGGGTTCTGATATGCTGGGCATGAGAGCCATGTGCTTGCCCTGGTACATCGCCCGCGTCAGTTGCTGCCGATAATAAATAACACATGCTGACTGTCACAATTCCTAATCTGAGCTGAGGTTGCAGCAATGTCTTCACTGTAAAACCCAGCCTACCTACCAGCCAATCTCAAACCCAGTGATTCAACCCCCAGTCATAGCAGTGTTCTCATAAACTGAAATAATCAAAGATTGATCAGAAGGTCCAAACACTTGAGTAATTAAATGCAAGATACAATTTTGCCACCTATCTCAAGTTCTGAGTGAGTGAGTGCGTTGGGTTTAATGCCGCTTTTCCAGTTATATCACGGCGTGTCAGCTTAATGTGGGAGGAAAGCCCGAAGTGATGCAGGTCTCAGACGTTAACCCCTTCGGTGAAACCCATGAGCACGGGTATGGTGCTGACAAACCTAGAACCCACAATCATAGGTTTCTGGCGTGCCCAAGGGACGCAACTCTGCACAGCGAATCGCGGCGCCTTAAACTGGGCCGCGCGGCCCCCCTAAAGTTCGGAGATAGTTTTGTTTATTCATTAATTACTACATAATATGTGGAGAAAACATTGGAGAGTGAGCGGGCCAATGTCTTGTTTGAAACATAAACTGCTGAAGTAAATATTTGCCTCTGCTTTGGCTCTGGTTTTCGAGAGGCTATCAACCAATACCAGCGACAGAAACTAACATTTTTAGTCCACTAGTCCTTATAATGATAACATATAGCAAAACACTTAAAAATCAGAAATTTTCACTAGTCGTCCATTGATACCTAACTACTGGGCAGTTTGGCAAGGACTACAAAACTAGTGCGAATTTCTAACACTGAACACAATGAGCTACCCGAGTGACCACTTCATCTCCTAGTGGGAGGCACAGGACAGTCTGTCTAAGAAGACCTACAATGTTTCATGTGAGAGTGCACTGCTACCTTCTTAAGGCCTTCATTTTCCTCTGTAACCTGCTGCAGCCTGTCGCTGAGTTCACTGAGGGAGTCGATGGTCTTTTCCTGGAACATCAGACATTCTTACTACAAATTATGTTGATAGAGGAATGAGTGAGTTTGGTGAAATGCAGCTTTGAACAGCATATTATTTATAACAAATGTTATATTGGGTATACCACTTTCTTAGTAAAGTACAGATTCTTGTACTTTTTGGGGTTGTGTCCCATCCGGGATTCGAACCCACACTGCTAGACTGAGGCACCTAATCACCAGCACACAAAGTCAGCAATCTAACCCACTCAGCAACCGAGGCTTCCACAAAAATGAAAGTCCGACAACTGTTAGTCTATATCACATACTTTGACAAGTGTTAATTGGCATGGCTCGATTTGGTCGAAAGGTATGAATAGCAATGCCATTTAGAAAGTGATCAAATGTAACAAATGTTACAAATATCAGTTAACTGACTGACAATGGACTCAGAACATAAAAGAACATGCATCAAATTTAAGGACTGTTACCTGGAATTCTAGTCTCTCCCTTGTGTCCTGGTCTGCAGACATGTTGGCATTACCAGACACAGAGTTGAGTTTCTTCAGCAAGAACAGTACCTGTAACACAAACACACAAGTACTGAACACACATTGAGACAACACATCCACCAGTACCTACTTCATATACAAATACCACGAATCCAAACTTTACCTGTTACCAAAATTAATCAATACAACTACCAGTTCTCCTCATCCTCAACACTGCTATCTCCATGGTCTTCTTTGGCACCCAATCTCCCCGTACTGATCCACCCCTCAATCTCCCCGTACTGATCCACCCCTCAATCTTCCCGTACTGATCCACCCCTCAATCTCCCCGTACTGATCCACCCCTCAATCTCCCCGTACTGATCCACCCCTCAATCTCCCCGTACTGATCCACCCCTCAATCTCCCCGTACTGATCCACCCCTCAATCTGCCCGTACTGATCCACCCCTCAATCTCCCCGTACTGATCCACCCCTCAATCTCCCCGTACTGATCCACCCCTCAATCTCCCCGTACTGATCCACCCCTCAATCTCCCCGTACTGATCCACCCCTCAATCTGCCCGTACTGATCCACCCCTCAATCTCCCCGTACTGATCCACCCCTCAATCTCCCCGTACTGATCCACCCCTCAATCTCCCCGTACTGATCCACCCCTTAATCTCCCCGTACTGATCCACCCCTCAATCTCCCCGTACTGATCCACCCCTCAATCTCCCCGTACTGATCCACCCCTCAATCTCCCCGTACTGATCCACCCCTCAATCTCCCCGTACTGATCCACCCCTCAATCTCCCCGTACTGATCCACCCCTCAATCTGCCCGTACTGATCCACCCCTCAATCTCCCCGTACTGATCCACCCCTCAATCTCCCCGTACTGATCCACCCCTCAATCTCCCCGTACTGATCCACCCCTCAATCTCCCCGTACTGATCCACCCCTCAATCTCCCCGTACTGATCCACCCCTTAATCTCCCCGTACTGATCCTCCCACCTCAATCTCCCCGTACTGATCCAACCACCTCAATCTCCCCGTACTGATCCACCCCTCAATCTCCCCGTACTGATCCACCCCTCAATCTCCCCGTACTGATCCACCCCTCAATCTCCCCGAACTGATCCACCCCTCAATCTCCCCGTACTGATCCACCCCTCAATCTCCCTGTTCTGATCCTCCCATCACAATCTCCCCGTACTGATACACCCCTCAATCTCCCTGTTCTGATCCTCCCACCTCAATCTCCCCGTACTGATACACCCCTCAATCTCCCCGTACTGATCCACCCCTCCATCTTCCCGTACTGATCCACCCCTCAATCTCCCCGTACTGATCCACCCCTCAGTCTCCCCGTACTGATCCACCCCTCAATCTCCCTGTTCTGATCCTCCCATCACAATCTCCCCGTACTGATACACCCCTCAATCTACCCGTACTGATCCACCCCTCAATCTCCCTGTTCTGATCCTCCCACCTCAATCTCCCCGTACTGATACACCCCTCAATCGCCCCGTACTGATCCACCCCTCCATCTTCCCGTACTGATCCATCCCTCAATCTCCCCGTACTGATCCACCCCTCAGTCTCCCCGTACTGATCCACCCACCTTGGACTCATGCTCCCTCTGCAGTATGGTCATCTTGGAGTCATACTGTTTCCTCAGCTTGTTGATGTGGTCTTCCATCTGCTCGGCTACCTGACTCGAGTCCTCGTTTGATGCATGTGCCTCCTTCAGCTCAGTCTTGGTGATGGAGATGTCGGCCTTTGCTGACACGGCCTAGAAGGGAAACATACACAATAACAAACCATTGTCAACCTATAAAGACCATTCACTGTCGTCAGCCATTTATCTTGGTATTGTGGCTTCATCAATTCGATACAAAAGTATAGTGTAACCAGACATTAAGCACTTTAGTGAAACCCACGGGCATGTGTGTGTATGTGTTTGTGAAACCCACGGGCATGTGCGTATTTGTGTTAGTGAAACCCACGGGCATATGTGTTTGTGAAACCCACGGGCATGTGTGTATTTGTGAAACCCACGGGCATGTGTGTGTTTGTGAAACCCACCGGCATGTGTGTATTTGTGTTAGTGAAACCCATGGGCATGTGTGTGTTTGTGAAACCCACGGGCATGTGTGTATTTGTGTGAGCACCAGATATGAAGATGAGGGATTTACCTGCTCCAGTAGCCATTTGAGTCCACACTTGGCCTCCATCATGGTGTGCAGGGACTCCCAGGCCGACTTGCCCTTGCTGTCTGCAACACAACACACAGTACAGACAATGCTTCCTTATTGCAACACAACACACTGTACAGACAGTATCCCCTTATTGTAACACAACACACTGTACAGACAGTATCCCCTTACTGCAACACAACACACTGTACAGACAGTGTCCCCTTACTGCAACACAACACACTGTACAGACAGTGTCCCCTTACTGCAACACAACTCACTGTACAGACACTGCCTCCTTATTGTAACACAAAACACTGTACAGTGTCCCCTTACTGCAACACAACACACTGTACAGACAGTATCCCCTTACTGCAACACAACACACTGTACAGACAGTATCCCCTTACTGCAACACAACAGACAGTATCCCCTTACTGCAACACAACATACTGTACAGACAGTGTCCCCTTACTGCAACACAACACACAGTACAGACAATGCTTCCTTACTGCAACACAACTCACTGTACAGACAGTATCCCCTTACTGCAACACAACTCACTGTACAGACACTGCCTCCTTATTGTAACACAAAACACTGTACAGTGTCCCCTTACTGCAACACAACACACTGTACAGACAGTATCCCCTTACTGCAACACAACACACTGTACAGACAGTATCCCCTTACTGCAACACAACAGACAGTATCCCCTTACTGCAACACAACATACTGTACAGACAGTGTCCCCTTACTGCAACACGACACACTGTACAGACAGTGTTCCCTTACTGCAACACAACACACTGTACAGACAGTGTCCCCTTACTGCAACACAACACACTGTACAGACAGTATAGTATCCCCTTACTGCAACACAACACACTGTACAGACAGTATCCCCTTACTGCAACACAACACACTGTACAGTCAGTATCCCTTTACAACAACACAACACACTGTACAGACAGTATCCCCTTACTGCAACACAACACACTGTACAGACAGTGTCCCCTTACTGCAACACAACACACTGTACAGTCAGTATCCCCTTACTGCAACACAACACACTGTACAGTCAGTATCCCCTTACTGCAACACAACACACTGTACAGACAGTATCCCCTTACTGCAACACAACACACTGTACAGACAGTATCCCCTTACTGCAACACAACACACTGTACAGTCAGTATCACCTTACCGCAACACAACACACTGTACAGACAGTGTCCCCTTATCGCAACACAACACACTGTACAGTCAGTATCCCCTTACTGCAACACAACACTGTACAGACACTGCTTCCTTATTGTAACACAACACACTGTACAGTCAGTATCCCCTTACTGCAACACAACACACTGTACAGACACTGCTTCCTTATTGTAACACAACACACTGTACAGACACTGCTTCCTTATTGGAACACAACACATTGTACAGACAGTATCCCCTTACTGCAACACAACACACTGTACAGACAGTATCCCCTTACCGCAACACAACACACTGTACAGACAGTATCCCCTTACCGCAACACAACACACTGTACAGACAGTATCCCCTTACTGCAACACAACACACTGTAAAGACAGTATCCCCTTACCGCAACACAACACACTGTACAGACAGTATCCCCTTACTGCAACACAACACACTGTACAGACAGTATCCCCTTACTGCAACACAACATACTGTAGTCAGTATCCCCTTCCCGCAACACAACACACTGTACAGACAGTATCCCCTTACCGCAACACAACACACTGTACAGACAGTATCCCCTTACTGCAACACAACATACTGTAGTCAGTATCCCCTTACCACAACACAACACACTGTACAGACAGTATCCCCTTACTGCAACACAACACACTGTACAGACAGTATCCCCTTATTGCAACACAACACACTGTACAGACACTGCCTCCTTATTGCAACACAACACACTGTACAGACAGTATCCCCTTACTGCAACACAACACACTGTACAGACAGTATCCCCTTACTGCAACACAACACACTGTACAGACACTGCCTCCTTATTGCAACACAACACACTGTACAGACAGTATCCCCTTACCACAACACAACACACTGTACAGACAGTGTCCCCTTACTGCAACACAACACACTGTACAGACAGTGTCCCCTTATTGCAACACAACACACTGTACAGACACTGCCTCCTTATTGCAACACAACACACTGTACAGACAGTATCCCCTTACTGCAACACAACACACTGTACAGACAATGCCTCCTTATTGCAACACAACACACTGTACAGACAGTATCCCCTTACTGCAACACAACATACTGTACATTGTCCCCTTACCACAACACAACACACTGTACAGGCAGTGCCCCCTTACTGCAACATAACACTGTACAGACAGTATCCCCTTACTGCAACACAACACACTGTACATTGTCCCCTTACCACAACACAACACACTGTACAGGCAGTGCCCCCTTACTGCAACATAACACTGTACAGACAGTGTCCCCTTACTGCAACACAACCCACTGTACAGACACTGCCTCCTTATTGTAACACAACACACTGTACACCAGAAATGGGCTTCACACATTGTACCCATGTGGGGAATCTAACCCAGGTCTTTGGCTAACACTTTAACCACGAGGCTACCCTACCACCCCTTAAACCAGAGTAACCTTCCTGAGACTTATGCATGAGTTTGGATATGAAGCCTCTTGCAGGATGATTGGAAATGTATGCTTTTAATAATACTCCCATTGTGCAAAATGTTTTTCAGGTCACAACTAACAGGTTAGGGAAGCTACTACTTCTAATATTATAAGATGGTCACTTCACTATAGCTGCCCCATTCCACAAAGCAATCACAGCGCTAAGAAGATAATAACTGCCATACTTTAACATAGACCTATGACAATCATAGGGCTATGATGGCTTTGTGGAGCAGGGCCATGTATACTACAGGTATATACAGTTCTGTAGATGTGAGCAACAAACTGGGACATTTAAGCTAAGCAACTTCCACAGTTATATTCCAAGCTATAAACTCCTGGGAGAGCCTTGAAAAATCCCGCAAATATCCTACCTTGATCTGCGTCCACAATTTTTTGCTGTAGATCTGATATCTGGATGTTCCTGAAAATAAGTCCATAGAGAGATGAAGCTCTCAGCAGAGTAAGATCATCACTTGTCAATCCAATCGTATCAAAATCAGATCTTTAGCTATGATATGATACTTCTATGTGTGAAGATCTAAGGACAGTTCATAGTAGGTCGCATAAGGTGAGTTTTCTAATAGCCAGTCAGTGTCAAGCTTCTCTAAATTCTTGGAACAAAATAACAAAGCATTCAGACCAACATATCTGATTTCTTTATCTCAAACACAAACGTAATCCAAATGTAACTGATAAAGGTCATGCCAACACATGGTTGTGGATTTGTGACATACTGTCATTTGTGTTATGTGGGTTTTCTGTTAAAATCACAATTTTCAAATCAAGGCGATGGAGCCAAATTGTTTTAGTAAGCTGACATGTGATTGGCTCCAGAGCCCCAACATCCTTCATTTGGATAGGGTGTTCACTCAGGGTTCTCTGGTGTGAGATGTTCATGCAGAGAGGTATTGTATTGGATGTAGAGGATCAGGGCCCCGTTCCACAGAGTGATTGTAGCTACGACAGTCGTAAATCTATGTTAAAGTGTGGGAGTTACGATCATTTCAGCGCAAAGACAGCTTTGTGGAACGGACCCCTGGTTTTAATGAGATTGTTTGGAAACCTAGACTCTGATGACGATACATGGATGATGCAACACACCAGTCATCACCGGCTCAGAGGGAGTGAGTGAGTTGGGTTTAATGCTGCCTTAAACAGTATTTCATAAACATTGAAGTTATTGACTTAAGATCAAGATTTAGCATTTCCTCGAGATTTAGTGAATCTGTACATCATATCATGAAGAAAGTATGGAGACTTTGATTATCACCGGGGACATATTTTGATCCTGAATTTACTGAACACCTGCAGTGTTACAACGATAAATACCTCAACTCAATCTCTGTTTCCAGAGCCTTTATTTGTGAAATGACACTGTCTTGTTCAAAGCTAACATCCTCGGTTGATCCTTCAGAGTTGACCCAGGCCATTTTCTGCAACGAAGGATACATGTGTTACTGAACCTCATCCAGGAATACACACAGCTTCAGCAGGATGCAGGTTACAGTGTCAGTTGTCCACCAGTCCCGAGGGACATGGATGATGGACCCTCACATCATATATCATCTACAGATATTTTCCAAATCATTTCATGTTTGAAATCAAGGTGCTCAAATGATTTGATGCAAATTGCAAGGTAAGACCCATTTTCTTTTAATATAAATATCGATTATCGATCAGATCATCTTGACTGGGCACCCGCCATTTTGTTTGAAGCAATGCAAGTGATAAGAGAGGTGGAATCTGATTGGTCAATAGGAGGGACATAGAGGGACATAACCTGTATTAGCCACTGGTGGCGCTACGATCGAGTCACGACATTCCAGCGTAGTTCGGCAAGGATGGAAACTGGACTTTTATGGTAAGTAACTCCCTTGCCTTGGGAAGATAGTATCCTCAGTGTTAGTTTTAAATGTTCCCGGACCAAGAGGACAACAAATTCATCTTACCGAACACCCAATTATATTGCAGGTATGTCGAATGCATGCATGTTTGAGGATATTTAGTGAGCGCTGTACTCACTTTCTTCGGGGGTGTATCGTCGAGCTTGGCCTTCAGGTCTGCCAGCTGTGCAGCGAGTGTCTTGCGGTCAGCCAGTAGACTGTCCAGGTGATACTTGGCCTCTCGGATGCTGACCCGGACGTCCAGCTCCTGGCTGAGCCAAGCCTGTGACACACAACATCCATGTTATCTACATCCTTGTTATCCGTATATCATGTGTAGTCAACAGTTGACAATGGCAACAAAGACACACCCTTTATAATACAGCACCCACCTACTGGCCGTTCCCTATAACACAGCACCCACCTACTGGCCCCTCCCTTTATCCCCACACCCTCCTACTGGCCCCTCCCTTTAATGCAGCACCCACCTACCGGCCCCTCCCTTTATCCCCACACCCTCCTACTGGCCCCTCCCTTTAATGCAGCACCCACCTACCGGCCCCTCCCTTTATCCCCACACCCTCCTACTGGCCCCTCCCTTTAACGCAGCACCCTCCTACTGGCCCCTCCCTTTAATGCAGCACCCACCTACCGGCCCCTCCCTTTATCCCCACACCCTCCTACTGGCCCCTCCCTTTAACGCAGCACCCTCCTACTGGCCCCTCCCTTTAATGCAGCACCCACCTACCGGCCCCTCCCTTTATCCCCACACCCTCCTACTGGCCCCTCCCTTTAACGCAGCACCCACCTACCGGCCCCTCCCTTTATCCCCACACCCTCCTACTGGCCCCTCCCTTTAATGCAGCACCCACCTACCGGCCCCTCCCTTTATCCCCACACCCTCCTACTGGCCCCTCCCTTTAACGCAGCACCCACCTACTGGCCCCTCCCTTTATCCCCACACCCTCCTACTTGCCCCTCCCTTTAATGCAGCACCCACCTACCGGCCCCTCCCTTTATCCCCACACCCACCTACTGGCCCCACCTTTTAACGCAGCACCCACCTACTGGCCCCTCCCAGTAAATACAGCACCCACCTACTGGCCTCTTCCTTTAACGCAGAACCCACCTACCGGCCCCTCCCTTTAATGCAGCACCCACCTACCGGCCCCTCCCTTTAATGCAGCACCCACCTACCGGCCCCTCCCTTTATCCCCACACCCACCTTCTGGCCCCACCCTTTAACGCAGCACCCACCTACTGGCCCCTCTCAGTAAATACAGCACCCACCTACTGGCCGTTCCCTTTCACACAGCATCCACGTACCGGCCCCTCCCTTTATCCCCACACCCACCTACTGGCCCCACCTTTTAACGCAGCACCCACCTACTGGCCCCTCCCAGTAAATACAGCACCCACCTACTGGCCTCTTCCTTTAACGCAGAACCCACCTACCGGCCCCTCCCTTTATGTAGCACCCACCTACCGGCCCCTCCCTTTAATGCAGCACCCACCTACCGGCCCCTCCCTTTATCCCCACACCCACCTTCTGGCCCCACCCTTTAACGCAGCACCCACCTACTGGCCCCTCCAAGTAAATACAGCACCCACCTACTGGCCGTTCCCTTTCACACAGCATCCACGTACTGGCACCTCCCTTTATAACTGCACCCATCTCCCAGTAAATACAGCACCCAGATACTGACCCTGACTCTGTTGCCGATGCTGCTGCCGTCACACTTGTTCAGCTGTTTACTCCTCTCGTCCATCACCGTCTTCTGCCGTGCCAGGGCGTCCTTCAGCCTCCTGTTCGCTGCCGCTGCCTCCTCCGCCTTCCGTCGCAGGACGGTCTGCTGCTTCTCATGGGTCTTCTGCATCTTCTGGATCTCACACTGACGCTTGCGGTCCTGGAGACAGAGAGATGACAGATCTACTAATATATATGCATTCGACATTGACATTCGTAAGTGACCCAGATGCGATGTGACGGATGTGACCCAGATGCATGTGACGGATGTGACCAAGATGCCTGTGACGGATGTGACCAAGATGCCTGTTAAAGATGTGATGGATGTGACCCAGATGACCGATGTGACCCAGATGCCTGTGACAGATGTGACCCAGATGGATGGGACTCAGATGACCGATGTGACCCAGATGCCTGTGATGGATGTGACCCAGATGCCTGTGATGGATGTGACCCAGATGCCTGTGATGGATGTAACCAAGATGACTGATGTGACCCAGATGCCTGTGATGGATGTGACCCAGTTGCCTGTTATGGATGTGACCCAGTTGCCTGTTATGGATGTGACCCAGATGCCTGTGGCGGATGTGACCCAGATGCATGTGATGGATGTGACCCAGATGACCGATGTGACCCAGATGCATGTGATGGATGTGACCCAGATGATCGATGTGACCCAGATGCCTGTGACAGATGTGACCCAGATGACCGATGTGACCCAGATGCATGTGATGGATGTGACCCAGATGCATGTGACGGATGTGACCCAGATGCATGTGACGGATGTGACCCAGATGACCGATGTGACCCAGATGCATGTGACGAATGTGACCCAGATGACCGATGTGACCCAGATGCATGTGATGGATGTGACCCAGATGCATGTGACCAATGTGACCCAGATGACCGATGTGACCCAGATGCATGTGATGGATGTGACCCAGATGCATGTGACGAATGTGACCCAGATGACCGATGTGACCCAGATGCCTGTGACAGATGTGACCCAGATGCCTGTGATGGATGTGACCCAGATGCATGTGACGAATGTGACCGATGTGACCCAGATGCCTGTGACCCAGATGCATGTGACGAATGTGACCCAGATGACCGATGTGACCCAGATGCCTGTGACAGATGTGACCCAGATGCATGTGATTGATGTGACCCAGATGCATGTGATGGATGTGACCCAGATGCATGTGACGAATGTGACCCAGATGACCAATGTGACCCAGATGCATCTGAGGGATATGGCCCAGATGACGGATGTTACCCAGGTGACGGATGTAACCCAGATGCCTGTGATGGATGTGACCCAGATGACCGATGTGACCCATCTGACGGATGTGACCCAGATGGCCGATGTGACCCAGGTGACCGATGTGACCCATCTGACGGATGTGACCCAGATGGCCAATGTGACCCAGGTGACCGATGTGACCCAGGTGACCGAAGTGACCCAGGTGACCCACCTTCTGCTGCAGCTGCAGCACCTCCTTGTCCTTCTGCTGCTTCCACTTCCGGAACAACTCGGCATCTTCCTTGATCTGCTTCATCAGCTTCACCCTCTGCTGCTTCATGGACTGCAAACACAACACAGACACATCAGTAGACAGACACATCAGTAGACAGACGCAACACAGATACATCAGTAGACAGACGCAACACAGATACATCAGTAGACACACACATCAGTAGACAGACACAACACAGACACATCAGTAGACAGACACAACACAGATACATAAGTAGACAGACACAACACAGATACATCAGTAGACAGACACATCAGTAGACAGACGCAACACAGATACATCAGTAGACAGACACATCAGTAGACAGACACATCAGTAGACAGGCGCAACACAGATACATCAGTAGACAGACACATCAGTAGACAGACGCAACACAGATACATCAGTAGACAGACACATCAGTAGACAGACACAACACAGACACATCAGTAGACAGACACAACACAGATACATCAGTAGACAGACACATCAGTAGACAGACGCAACACAGATACATCAGTAGACAGACACATCAGTAGACAGACACAACACAGATACATCAGTAGACAGACACATCAGTAGACAGGCGCAACACAGATACATCAGTAGACAGACACATCAGTAGACAGACGCAACACAGATACATCAGTAGACACACACATCAGTAGACAGACACAACACAGACACATCAGTAGACAGACACAACACAGATACATCAGTAGACAGACACATCAGTAGACAGACGCAACACAGATACATCAGTAGACAGACACAACACAGATACATCAGTAGACAGACACATCAGTAGACAGACACAACACAGATACATCAGTAGACAGACACATCAGTAGACAGGCGCAACACAGATACATCAGTAGACAGACACATCAGTAGACAGACGCAACACAGATACATCAGTAGACACACACATCAGTAGACAGACACAACACAGACACATCAGTAGACAGACACAACACAGATACATCAGTAGACAGACACATCAGTAGACAGACGCAACACAGATACATCAGTAGACAGACACATCAGTAGACAGACACAACACAGACACATCAGTAGACACACACATCAGTAGACAGACACAACACAGACACATCAGTAGACAGACACAACACAGACACATCAGTAGACAGACACAACACAGATACATCAGTAGACAGACACAACACAGATACATAAGTAGACAGACACAACACAGATACATAAGTAGACAGACACAACACAGATACATCAGTAGACAGACACAACACAGATATGTCAGAGCAACACAGATTTTGTCGAAAGACAGACAAATTCAGGGATGTGAGCAGGTTTTCCCGAAAAAAGAGAGGAAATGTCTAGGGGGGTCTGGGGGCATACCAGTGCAGTTTGTACAACATTCAAATGTAATGTAACAAGTCAATGGCAAAAGTGAATAAGTCAAATAAACAAAGATGGCGGATGCAGTAAAATTATTAAGTTAACTCAGCTACCCGCCAGGTTTGGGATCAATACTGCAATAACCTTCATCCCCCCACCACCCATTCCTCAGACACAAGCTCGCAATGACCTTGTACTTACCTTTTATTGAAAAACCCCCCAAAAAACCCATTGCAAACATAAGATATTAATACACTATATATCCCTGTGTTATTGGTTGTCGGTCGCCGAAGAAACATTCATAGTTTTCTTGCTAATCACATGAACAACTGTAAAACATCTCATTTACTTATAGGCTAAAAGAAAACTTTATCTTAAAAACAAGCCATCATCTGACTGAGTATTTACAATTTCTGTGTGACGCCACGCCACACCCCACGTTATAGTGCAAGTATTCGTGATAGAAAACGTATGATGTCCAAAAACCTATGATGCTGAAAGCTCTGATCGAAAACAGGACAATCCGCGACTCATTTTTTGGAGTGTTCTTTTTTAATCTGATTATATTTTTACGCGGAAGATGATTTTTTCCATGGACTACTGTTTTAAAATACACGATTTTCCGCATTTCCGCAGATTTCACATCCCTGCAAATTGGTGGAGAGAGAAGACTTTTTCGATTCCTGTCTGTGGCATGTTGTACCTGGATGTCTGTGTTTAGCTTGAAGACATGCTTGTCCGTCTGCTCCTTCAGTTTCACCATCTTACTCTGCTCCGCCATCTTCTTCTTCAGCTTCCCGATCTGAGTCTCCAGATCCTGAAGGCGCTTTCGCCGCTGCTCGCTGACCCTGGGGACACAAACAGTTTGTATAGACCACCAGCAGCAGCAACACATGCACTCACGGATGCACGCACACGAGCAGGCACACACAACTTGTACAGACCACCGGCATTTATAGCAGCACACACACACGGCTTGTATAGACCACCAGCATTTATATAAGCACACACACGGCTTGTATAGACCACCATCAATAGCAGCACACACACACAACTTGTATAGACCACCATCAGTAGCAGAAACATAACCCTGACAGGTTAAAGAACACCGGCAATGTCCAACACAGAGTCTCACCCTACAATCTAATGACAAGTTCCAGTTGCTTATATATCAAACAGACACCAGTAGTTTCTGAGGAAGAATTCAACAAACATTACTTCTTCACTACAGCTGATCACAAAGTGTAGAAACTCTTCACATTCCTGGCTTCAGGACTTACTTGTTGGCAGCTGAGTTCATCTTGGCATCCAACAGGGCGTGGGACAGATTCTCCTTCTCTTTCTGCAGGTCTGTAATTTCCGTCTCCAGTTCCTTCACAGAGAGCTAGAACACAGGGCAACAGACATACACATCTAGAATACATTCTCACAGGCAATGTTTGAAATAACACTGAACACCAGTGTTCTACTGACCTCAAATACCCATCTACCACTGAACACCATGGTGTTCTACTGACCTCCAAAACCTGTCTACCACTGAACACAATGTTCTACTGACCTCCAAAACCTGTCTACCACTGAACACCATGGTGTTCTACTGACCTCCAAAACCTGTCAACCACTGAACACCATGGTGTTCTACTGACCTCCAAAACCTGTCTACCACTGAACACCACTGTGTTCTACTGACCTCCAAAACCCGTCTACCACTGAACACCATGGTGTTCTACTGACCTCCAAAACCCGTCTACCACTGAACACCCTGGTGTTCTACTGACCTCCAAAACCTGTCTACCACTGAACACGGTGTTCTACTGACCTCCAAAACCTGTCTACCACTGAACACCATGGTGTTCTACTGACCTCCAAAACCTGTCTACCACTGAACACCATGGTGTTCTACTGACCTCCAAATCCTGTGTACCACTGAACACCACTGTGTTCTACTGACCTCCAAAACCCGTCTACCACTGAACACCACACTGTTCTACTGACCTCCAAAACCTGTCAACCACTGAACACCATGGTGTTCTACTGACCTCCAAAACCCATCAACCACTGAACACGGTGTTTTTCTGACCACCAAAACCCATCAACCACTAAACACCACCGTGTTCTATTGACCACCAATACCTGTCTACCACCACGGTGTTCTACTGACCTCCAATACCCATCTACCACTGAACACCACACTGTTCTACTGACCTCCAATACCCATCTACCACTGAACACCACACTGTTCTACTGACCTCCAATACCCATCTACCACTGAACACCACACTGTTCTACTGACCTCCAATACCCATCTACCACTGAACACCACACTGTTCTACTGACCTCCAAAACAAGTCTACCACTGAACACCATGGTGTTCTACTGACCTCCAAAACCCATCAACAACTGAACACCACCGCGTTCTATTGACAACCAATACCTGTCTACCACCACGGTGTTCTACTGACCTCAAAAAACCCGTCTACCACTGAACACGGTGTTCTACTGACCTCTAAAACCCATCAACCACTGAACACCACCGTGTTCTATTGACCACCAATACCTGTCTACCACCATGGTGTTCTACTGACCTCCAATACCCATCTACCACTGAACACCACACTGTTCACTGACCTCCAAAACACGTCTATCACTGAACACCATGGTGTTCTACTGACCTCAAATACCCGTCTACCACTGAACACCATGGTGTTCTACTGACCTCCAGGACCACCATATTTCGAACACTGAACTTTTCAACTGACCTCATAGTGCATCTTCATGGCCTCCATCTTGCCGTCGTTGTCTGTCATCTGAGTTGCCAGCTCCTCCTTCTTGGCCAGGAGTCGGTTCAGCTCCTGCAGCTCACGGTTCATCTGAGCCTGCTTCAAGGCGTACTGTGTAGATATTGCACGGCTGTCTGGCGTTGACGGCAGTGGCTCACCGTCGTCATCCTGCCAACAACAAGACAGTGACGGAATGCCTGCACTCAGACCTAACATACAGAAAACTGCAGGACTCATTACTCTTGGAAAACAACAACTTTAAAGGGTCTGTTTGTTTGTTTGTTTAACACCGCACTCAGCAATATTCCAGCTATATGACGATCGATAAGTCTGGATGAGACAATCCAGTGATTGACATCATGAGCACCGATCCTAGCAATTGGGATACGATGACATGCATCAACCAAGTCAGCGAGGCTGTTAGTGGCCTCTTACGACAGGCATATTCACCTTTTATGGCAAGAATGGGTTGCTGAAGACCTATTCAATGCCGTGAACATTCACTCAAACATTCAAATGTTTTTCAAACTGTTAGACTCTAATTATCATCACCTGTTATGTTCATTTCTTTGGACCCAGTTCCTTTTGCCTTATAAACTGAATATTAAAATATTTGATTGGGTGGGATTGGAATAAAGTAGCCAATCAGAATAGGCATACCATTAACTGTGACTTCTGCAGGGGTTTAACAATGGCCCTACTTCATTGCCATACCCAACTGAAACCCACACAGGCACCTACCTCCGGCTCAAGGGGTTCATCAATCAAGTCATCACTCCGTTCTTCTTCCGACTGAAACAAAAAGAAACATTTGTTGCATGTTCTTAAAACCATACAAGAAAACAGTGTCCTATCAAATACAGCTTATGAGACAAGGAATTATATACCAGCATTTGGTTGACTAATGACTGAAATCATACACCTACATTTACACATGAACTCTACAGTAGATGTACTGGTGCCACTGCTACTCACGTCCGTCCTGACATTGTCAGCCAGCCTCCGCAGCTTCTCCAACTCCTCCTTCATCTGAGGGTTGTTGTCTACGTCGATGCTCTGACTCAGCAGCTCGAAGTCCACTCTGTGTAACGGGGAGTAGGGAGAAGTAGAGAAACAGCAATAACAGCTTCTACTAACACAACTCCATTCAGATCTGCTGGTAGCAAACCTACACTTCAACATCCCACAACTCAGAATCATTTATTTAATTAATGAACGTTTTTATGGAAAAATATGTTATCAATAGAAAACAGAAAACACGAAAGCATAAGGTCATGTTATTTCTGCCAGCTCATTTAGCCTGCTGTGTACACACTCAGGGACAGACACAGACACTAGTCTGTTAGTCCGAGACACTCGGGGACAGACACGGACACTAGTCTGTTAGTCCGAGACACTCAGGGACAGCAGACACTAGTCTGTTAGTCCGAGACACTCGGGGACAGACACGGACACTAGTCTGTTAGTCCGAGACACTCGGGGACAGACACGGACACTAGTCTGTTAGTCCGAGACACTCAGGGACAGACACAGACACAAGTCTGTTAGTCCGAGACACTCAGGGACAAACACGAACACTAGTCTGTTAGTCCGAGACACTCAGGGACAAACACCGACACTAGTCTGTTAGTCCGAGACACTCAGGGACAAACACGAACACTAGTCTGTTAGTCCGAGACACTCAGGGACAAACACAGACACTAGTCTGTTAGTCCGAGACACTCAGGGACAAACACGGACACTAGTCTGTTAGTCCGAGACACTCAGGGACAAACACCGACACTAGTCTGTTAGTCCGAGACACTCAGGGACAAACACGAACACTTGTCTGTTAGTCCGAGACACTCAGGGACAAACACAGACACTAGTCTGTTAGTCCGAGACACTCAGGGACAGACACGGACACAAGTCTGCTAGTCCGAGACACTCGGGGACAAACACGGACACAAGTCTGCTAGTCCGAGACACTCTGGGACAGACACAGACACAAGTCTGTTAGTCCGAGACACTCAGGGACAAACACGGACACAAGTCTGCTAGTCCGAGACACTCAGGGACAAACACGGACACAAGTCTGTTAGTCCGAGACACTCAGGGACAGACACAGACACAAGTCTGTTAGTCCGAGACACTCGGGGACAGCAGACACTAGTCTGTTAGTCCGAGACACTCAGGGACAGACACAGACACAAGTCTGTTAGTCCGAGACACTCAGGGACAAACACGGACACAAGTCTGCTAGTCCGAGACACTCAGGGACAAACAAGGACACAAGTCTGCTAGTCCGAGACACTCAGGGACAGACACAGACACAAGTCTGTTAGTCCGAGACACTCAGGGACAGACACAGACACAAGTCTGTTAGTCCGAGACACTCAGGGACAAACAAGGACACAAGTCTGCTAGTCCGAGACACTCAGGGACAGACACAGACACAAGTCTGTTAGTCCGAGACACTCGGGGACAAACACGGACACAAGTCTGTTAGTGCGAGACACACTCGGGGACAGACACGGATACCAGTCTGTTAGTCCGAGACACTCAGGGACAGACACGGACACTAGTCTGTTAGTGCGAGACACACTCAGGGACAGACATGGACACAAGTCTGTTAGTCCGAGACACTCGGGGACAGACACGGATACCAGTCTGCTAGTCCGAGACACTCAGGGACAAACACGGACACTAGTCTGTTAGTGCGAGACACACTCAGGGACAGACATGGACACAAGTCTGTTAGTCCGAGACACTGGGGGACAGACACAGACACTAGTCTGTTAGTCCGAGACACTCAGGGACAGACACGAACACTAGTCTGTTAGTCCGAGACACTCGGGGACAGACACGGACACTAGTCTGTTAGTCCGAGACACACTCGGGGACAGACACGGATACCAGTCTGTTAGTCCGAGACACTCGGGGACAGACACGGACACTAGTCTGTTAGTCCGAGACACTCGGGGACAGACACGGACACTAGTCTGTTAGTCCGAGACACACTCGGGGACAGACACGGATACCAGTCTGCTAGTCTGAGACTAGTGAAAATCTAGAGGGACTTGTTGACAACATAGATATTTTGCAGATACCATTTGTCTAAATGAGCTTTGGCTTTGACCAGTGGGGTCCACCCTAGTGACACTGACCCCGTCTGTCAGTAGCCACAAGTCTGCAGACCAAGTCCACAATGTAATGTGAAGGGACAACATCGGGTTAGAAGACTCTGACCATGTTGCCAAATACTGCATTCCTCAATACATCTATCCCTGTGTTCATACTAGTTGACCACCTCTGGGTTTTCTTTAAAAAACAAACAGTGTCAATTTCCAAAGAAGCCAAAGAAACAAAGACAGCACTTTTCTTGGAACAGTTACTCAGACCCAAACGAAGCGAACGTCATCACTTCCAGTGACAATAAATATGTCGAGACCTCCTTTGTTGTATCCCAACATAGCTGTAAATATTCAGACCCCAAAAACAAAAGGAATAAAGTTTTTTCTGACATCAAACTTGGGTGAGTATGGTTTTACGCCGCTTTTAGCAATATTCCAGCAATATCACAGCGGGGGACACCAGAAATGGGCTTCACACATTGACCCATGTTGGGAATTGAACCCGGGATAACGAGCGAACACTTTAACCACTAGGCTACCTGACCATCCTGAGTGATTGAGTGAGTGAGTTGGGTTTAACACCACTTTTAACAGTATTCCAATTATATCACGGCGTGTCAGTTTAATGTGGGAGGAAAGTCCGAAGTGATGCAGGTTTGAGACGTCTAACACTTCAGTGAAACCCACGAGCATGGGTATGGTGCTGACAAACCTAGAAACATAATCGGGGTGAACAAGGATTCGAACCCACAGTAATAGGTCTCTGGGGTGCCCAAGGGACGCAACTCTGCACAGCGAATTGCGACGCCTTAGACGACTGGGCCACCCTGGCCCCTAACGTTTGAACCAAGCTTCTAGTCTGTGAAAAACAAATAAAACAGATGTAGTGACTCAGCCCAAAATGATGTGACAATGAATAAGGCAAGATCTAGCTTGTTGTATGCCCCATGTGTTTGAGCTGTAACTGTGCTCGACATGTCCTGCTGCCGCTGCTGCTGCTGCTGCTGCTGCTGCTGCTGCTGCCTACCCAGTGTGTGACTTGAACTCCCTCAGTTTGGCCTTGAGTCTGTCTCTGCTCAGCTCCAGTTTGATGGACCGCTCCAGGTTGGTGGTGTTCTGGTCCACGGAAGACTGCAGCTCCCTCGTCAGCTTCGTGTTCTCCTCCTGAGGTCAAGGTCACCAGTGGGTGAGTGAGTGATCAGTGATCTACATGTATCCATGCCACTGCTATACAACACCAGCCAGTAGGTAGTCTGGACCAGCAGCCAGTGGTAGTGTTGCGGCACAGCTTTCTAATTCAACTCGTATTTTTCCAAGATGAACATGACGTTCATTTTCAGGTTAAAACAATGATAAGCACTGACAGAGCTCCAGATAACCTTTTGAGCAATTGAGTTTTTACCCGAAGGTTTCTATTTTAATTGAGTTGTTACATTTTTCATTGGGTGGCCAATATTTTTTCACTCATGTATTCATCACTCTATTGGTTTTATCACAAAATGAGTGAAGATTGACAAAAAATGAAATAATGTTTTAGATGTATATAACAGTTCTAAATATATATGATTGACTCTGCAAGTAAATTAGCTCGGAATTGTGTTTCCGAAATTTGCTCTTTTTTACGCATGCTGGAAAAGCTTCATTGGCTACTTACACGAACTGTTTTTATACATTTGAGATTTTCATTTAATGCATGCGTTTCTGTATGCATGTTGCTTGAAAGTAATTGGGTTTTGAATATTTCCGGGGGGGGGGGGGGGGGGGGGGGGAGGTATTTTACACAAATACGCTGCTTATCTGTAGCTCTGCACATCGATCAGAGATATCATTTATTGGCTCGAACTGTAAAAGGCTTGTAAAGTTGATTTTGTAGGATTCAAAAGTAATTAAGATTTTTCCGACATCAAACTTTTGACCTGAGATTCTAGACTGTGAAAAACAAATAAAACAGATGCAGCAGTAGAAACAACAGTTTTAGACCACTAGTCCTCATAATGCTAACATAGCAAAACCCTGAAAAATGGCAAATTTCTACTTGTCCTTATGATCCCTTAACTACTGGACAGTTTGGTAAGGACTGCAGGACTAGTGCTAATTTCTTACGCTGAGATGAGGTACTGCTGTTGTTTATAAATGATTATACAGTATGCAACAATATCAACAGCAAGAAGAAAAGATTTTTATGCGTTGCGGGTTCAATAAAAAAGGACTGTAACTGTGTGAGAGCCACCACCCACCTCCAGTAGCTTCAGCCTCTCCAGCATGGCTTTGTACTCACTGCTGCTGCTGCCAACCGGGCTAGAGAACACAAACAACAGAGGGATCTTAGCCTAAACAAAAAAATAGTCTTGGTTCTCAGGCACCGCCCGTATCATCATAAAGTCTGCAGCATGTTTCATTTCATTTCCATTTTAAAAATAAACCAAATCCTAAAAATCCTAAAACAATGCGATCCAAGCATACAGTTACTTTCCTTTACACATGCACTGCTATGTCCTGACTGATGTCGGCTTTGTAGCACTGGTCATACTTAGATACCAAGCTGCATGTTAACATGGATACTCCACCCAGACACAGTATACTGACACAGAGCCAACCCCTCCTTGTTTTATCCCCTTAATGCTGAGTGCGAGGCAGGGTAACAACAAGTACCATCTTTTAACGTGGTGTTGTATGATGCGGCTAGGGAATACTTACATAGAAACAAATATGTTGTTTGACACATGCTCGAAAAACAATATCAGTAAATTCTTTACAAGTTAGTGTTTACACAGCTTTAAGCAGTATTTCAGTTTTTCACAATGTTTCAGCTGAATATCAGAGGTGAGGTGAAATGGGGTTTAACGTTGCATCCAAGATTATTGCAATTTATAGCGATTGTGTGTGTGTGTGTGTGTGTGTGTGTGTGTGTGTGTGTGTGTGTGTGTGTGTGTGTGTGTGTGTGTGTGTGTGTGTGTGTGTGTGTGTGTGTGTGTGTGTGTGTGTGTGTGTGTGTGTGTGTGCGTGTGCGTGTCTGCTTGTACTTAGTCTGGACTAATGCCATTTATAGTGCTAGCCCATGTACACTGATGCAACAAGCCATTGTTTGAGTGGGTAATCGGAGAGAGATATACTGCCGGTCTCACCTGGACTGCTGTTTGACTGTGACCGTCACGTCTCCTGGACCACCCTGGATCATCTGGACCTGCAGCTGCTGGACCTGGAGATATAAGTCATAATGTCATCACCTGGGGATACAAGTCATAATGTCATCACTAGGACCTGAAGATATGTCATAATGTCATCACTGGGACCAGAGGATATAAGTCATAAATGTCATCATCTGGACCTGAAGCTGTAAGTCAAAATGTCATCACCAGGACCTGGATATATAAATCATAATGTCATCAACTGGGCCTAGAGATAAAAGTCATAATGTCATTACCTGGATCTAAAGATATAGTGAGTGATTTGGGTTTAACACAGCTTTTAACGTTATTCCAGTTATATCACGGCGTGCCAGCTAATGTGGGAGGAAAGCCCGAAGTGATGCAGGTCTGAGACGTTTACCACTTCAGTGAAACCCACAAGCACAGGTATAGTGCTGACAAACCTAGAAATATAATCGCGGTAAACCAGAATTTGAACCCACAATCATAGGTTTCTGGCATGCCCAAGGTAAGCAGCTCTGCACAGCGAAGACTGGGCCACCTGTGCCCCCACTAAAGATATAAAATCATGTCATCACAAGGACCTTGAGATAAATGTGATAATGTCATTACTGGGACCTGGAGATATCAGTCATGATGTCATCAGGACCTAGAGATAAATGTCATGATGTCATCACCAAAACCTGGAGATAAATGTCTTAATGTCATCACCAGGACCTGGAGATAAATGTCTTAATGTCATCACCAGGACCTGGAGATCAATGTCAAAATGTCATCACCAGGACCTGGAGATAACGTCATCACTTGGATATATAAGTCATAATGTCATCACCTGGAGATATGTTATAAATTCATCACTGGGAGCGGGAATCATATCAACTTTACATGTTTATTTTCTATTTCAGCTGGTTGTAGTTTTTGTATTTTACTTTTTCCATCTTTTAAAATGGTTTATCTGTAGTGAAAATAACAGATCAAAATTTTACTTTAGTTTTTCAACAGCAAAGAGAAAAACAACTTTTCTGACAGACATTTATACTTCTTTATATAGAAGATACTTTCAATATGTTGCATCCTAATCTGGCATCTACTTCCCATCTTGATCAACACAACATTGTGCAACAGAAATGTTTATTTACTGAAACATATTTTCACTTTTATCTCAGCCTAGCCAAGTTCACAAAGCGTGTGGAAAGTGGTGGGGAGAGACATGTTCTCACCAGTGACTTGAGACGCATGATCTCCTGCTGCTGGGGGTCTCGGTTGATGATGGGCTTGTTCTTGATCTTCCTGGCGCGGTCCGCGTACCGCAGCGTGTTGATGGTCTCCTCCATGTTGGAGTCAGCAGGGCTGATGCAGGCAATCATCAGGGTGTGGCTGTTGCCGCCCAGCGAGTCTGATGGAGAGGAACACTTGGCACATGAGATCAGCCGTTTGATGCAAATACTTCAGCTGTTTCTATAAGTGTTGTCAATATTTTTTTGGACGGATAGTATTGCTTGGTTTTTACAGCCTGTAACTAATCAAATCTGGACAATATAAACCAGTGAGGTGAGGTGAGGTGAAATGGGGTTTAACGTCGCGTCTAAGATTATTGCACTTATATAGCGACATGCATGTACGTGTGTGTGTTTGTGTGGCTGCTTGTACTAATTCGGACTGATGCCGATTTATAGTGCTAGCACACTGAGATACCATGCCGCAGTTTAACATGAATACCCCACTCAGAGCCACAGTATACTGACTCCGAGCCAACCAGTCCTTGCTTTAGCCCCTTAATGCCGAGCGCCAGACAGGGTAACAACAAGTACCATCTTTTAACGTCTTTTGGTATGAAGCGGCCGGGGATTGAACATCGGACCTTCCGCTCTCCAGACGGACGCTCTTCCACTAGACCACGGAAGCGGTCTATAAACCAGTGATTGATATTATGATCAATGTCCTTGCCATGGGGTATGATGGCACACTATCAACAAGTCCCCTAGCCCGATCATGGATCCATTTAGTTGGCTCGTATGTCAAGCCGAGGTTACTGAGGACAGTTACCCCAGACTGGTCACAGCAAAATCAAGTCTGGGACAGGAAAACCAGAGTTAGTTAAAAGGGGGGTTTGGCCTACCTTGCAGCAGTCGAGTGAGTTTGGAGTCTCGGTAGGGAATATGGTTCCTCTTCTGACTGTCGTCTCCTAAGGCACTGATCACGTTCCCCAGGGCCAGCAGACCACGGTTGATGTTGATACCTGCAAGTGAATGTATCAGTCGAAATACAATATGGCCCAAAATTTGATAAGATAAATATTGCAAAAAAAACAACAACAAAACATGTACTTTCCTGCACTGCAATATGATATATAAACTTTAATAGTTTATGTATACTTGATACATGCATTTTGTTTGTATTAATAGAGTGTGAATGAGTGAGTTTGGTTTAACGCCGCATTTAGCAATATTCCAGCAATATCACAGCAGTATTACTAGAGTGAATGTGTGAGTGAGAAGCATGTTATTTTCTGTAAAAAAAACTAAGATGTACTGATGAGTTGTGCTATATGTCATGGGCTTTCTGCTACCCTGGGCGGAAGCACATTTGATGTAACAGGTACTTCTTTTTAAAAAACAAGAAAAGAAAAAAAACCCGCCAAAAACAAAACAAACTAAGTTATTCTTGGTGAAAAAAAATTGATTTTCTTGTTTTGTAAACAATATTGTCTGTGAAACACATCATGGCAGAAAAGAAGTCTACATGATGTACGAGTAGAATGAAATACCCATTATGATGAATATGAGATTTTAAGTATGTCACAAGGAAGGAGGTCATGACCCAGGGGAGACAATTGGTATTGTTGGATGTCAAAATTACCTCCCCTCGACCACGGAGTACAACACAAGGCACGAACGGTAAATCCAAGCAAAGGTAAATCCAAGCAAAGGTAAATGAAGCTTCCAATGCCACGACATTGTAACAAACAGTGTTGAATGTAGCACACAGTACCTTCCCTTAATCTCTCTCCTTCTGCATGCGTTCTCTTGATCCGCTCGGAGCCGGCCAAATCCACGAGGTGGAATTTAGCCTTACATGCGTCCTCTCTGGAACATTCACACAATGTTTCCAACACAATTAAAGGTCCTTCACTAAAGTTTGACATATTGGTGAAATGTGAAAAGAATTTGGGACATCCCAGATGTAGATCTATTTGCATCCGATATGTTGTGCCTCGATAGGCCAGGTGAGACAAGATACAACTCTCTCAGCCTATTTTTTAGTCCAGAGACAAGTGTAAACCTTATCTCACTAGTCCTCTGAGTTTGTAGCTTGTTCTGCTTGAAGAGACAACTAAATTCTGTTTACATTTTCTGTCAGTTTTATTCAGTTCCAATTTCTAACAAAATTTGAAGCATTGAGACCTGGTTCAGGTTTATTTAGTAGCCTCCGCCTCGGGCTAGCAAACTAGTGTGAAATTTGAAGTCTGCAGTATACGTATTGATATCACAAAGATATGAGAGTTGACGTGGTAACACAATATCTACGCTATATTGTGGATCATAATAGCGAATGCTAACAAACACATTGACAATGTCATACGCAAAATGTTTCTTGTTCTTTCCTAACCGATTTCGAATGAAGGTAGGGGTAAATCCACTTCAACATTCGAGCAATCTCATTGAAATCAGATCTTAGTTCTCGCTGCCGCTAAACAATGATCTGAGGACATCCCATTACGGGTCACGTCAGGCCGACCTTGCGCGAACTTTGACCGACCGATAGAAGGACTGACAAGAAGTCAACATTAGCCAATCAGAAGGCAACTTTCTCGTGCTTTACGGCACTAATTTCAAATTGGCCACTACGCTTCGAAACATATTTTGACAAATTCTCGATTACAAATTTGAAACCTGAACAAAAGAACATTCTGGAATGACTAATAGATGGTCTACATTGTATGGATTCCGTCGCTAAACCCGTAACTATTGTTCGCAATACGGGTTGAAGTTTTCGAGGTTGCATTATCAGAATTCACATTCCGAATGTCTCTTTCATGATCTGGTAAGTGACGCGCTGATTGGCCAGATGAAAGGTCGTTCTGACGTGAACCCTAATGGGATGTCTTAAGATCTTTGTTTAGCGATAGCGAGAACTAAGATCTGATTTTAATGAGATTGACATTCCAGAAACTATCAAAAAAATGTTAACGTGCGATGAAATGTTGTGCTTAGTTTTGCATAAGTAAACAGTCGACAGGGGATGTAGATCATGAGATTTACCGCAAAAATATAGAGTCCGCGATAATATAGAATCATACTATACACAGGTCTCAAAAGAGTCTTCCTGTTTTGTATCACAGCCACAACCATCACAGCTTGATGTGAATCATGTAGCACTGTACAGTGTCAAGTTTCCAGGGTCCACAGTCCCTGTGGCTTGCTGCTACAGCATCTGAATCATGTAGCACTGTACAGTGTCAAGTTTCCAGGGGTCCACAGTCCCTGTGGCTTGCTGCTACAGCATCTGAATCATGCATGTCGGGGGGTTCTCATCGGTTCAAATTCTAAGATCGTTTGTTTTCCCAGATACTAGGGCTGTTACGATTCACTCACGTATTCTGTGAATCGAACCGTATCCATTCATGAATTGAATTCGTATTTATGAATATGCAATCATGTGCATTCACATACCCTGTACCTAAAAATATCCATAAGAACATATTATATGCATAGATTTCTTAAAAGATAACACTCTCATAATATTTAATTTGACAGTATTGTGGTCACTGGTCATTGTTGCATTTAAGCAGATACTAGTACCTGGATAAGTGCAATATATAAATGTATAATATATTAATAGTTAACCAACCATGTCAAATAATTTATGTTGTTATTGTTTCCCTGAATATAACAAATAATACATCAGCTGCTGACTTGTTATTGTATTTGTGAACTAATATTCGTATTTGTTACCCTATATTCATGATATGAATCATATTCGCCTCATAGTGTATTCGTTGCAGCCCTACCAGATACCATTCAAAATTGCTGATGATACAAGAGTGTCTTAGTAAGAAGTGAGAAAATCCTGCCAATGTTGTAGACTATCCTAATGTCAGTTTGTCTCCTGGTATTAGGAACTCCTAACTTTTGAACTTCTTCAAATAAATTAAATCCTGAACTATTAACACAAATAACATCAGGGTTAATCATAACAAGGATCACATGACCATTATGCTTAATTTCAAACATTATGTACATTATATATTATCATCCAAAACTGGCTCCCACAGGAGATATCGCTTGGATGAGATCAAGCGATATCTACACTGTAGATATCGCTGCAATGAAATTACATCACAATGCTTTGCAGACCATTGTGACGTCACTGGTTACCATGACGTCACAATCAAATGACATCACTAATGGCTCAGCTACTGAAGCTGCTAATTACTGTCTACAAATTGAAAAAGTTGGAAGAATGATGTTGGATGATAAATAAAATCTCACCCTCGTGTCTTTTGATATCAAATGTATCAAGCAAGCCTCGGAATTTTTCCACTTTTATCAACTCGTGTTGATATATTTGATATCAAAAGACACTTGGGTGAGATTCTCTATTTATCCCCCCTCCGCAGTTACTTACGGGTTGTCTTTACTGACTCGGTCCACGGTGATGGTGAAGATGGCGTGAGATCGGCTGGAGGTGTTGTTCATGGCGGTGGACCCCGTGGTGCGGGATGAAGACCCCTGGGTCAAACATTTCATGGTCTCTGCATAGGACTTCACTTTTACTTCCCTTAGACCAGCTATCTGTAATCCAAATTATGTTCCTTTATTTGAACAGTTTTTTTCTTTGTTTCTTTTTTCTTTTTTAAATCACACCAACATAAGACAACTGAGCAGTGGGGAGGAAGTGGGGAGGAAGGGGTGGAGGGGGTGGAGGGGGTGGAGGGGGTGGAGGGGTGGAGGGTCGGAGGGGTGTTATTCTGGTTAATGTGTATCACAAAATCACCCTTGACATAATAACCCTGGGAAGATCTGGGGTAGAATTGGTCTAAGCAACCAATGCATGTCTTAAGAAGGGATTAACAAGATTGGGTGGTCTGACTTGAATGATGCATGTCATTGTATTCCAATTACTTAGATCGATTCTCATGATGTCAATCACTGGACTGTCTGTTCCAGACTCGATTATTTATAAACCACCATCATGTAGTTTGAATATTGATGGCTGTGTGTGGCATTAATAACAAACAAAAATGTCATGAAATCCATTAGGATCCATGCAAAAATCTGTAAATCTGTAAAAAAGTAAATCTGAGTTTCTTGATATCTGAAGTTAAGGGTTCAACAAATCTTTCACGTGGTCCAATGGATCAGTTCAACAAATCTTTCACGTGTACCACTGGATCAGTTCAACAAATCTTTCACGTGACCCGCTGGATCAGTTCAACAAATCTTTTACGTGTACCACTGGATCAGTTCAACAAATCTTTCACGTGTACCACTGCAGAGCTCCAGATAAGATGCATAACTGCGTAAAATACGCATCAGAAATGCAGAAGTACGCAGTAAAATAAAATTCAAGCGTATCAAATACGCAAGGAGCATTACAGATACGCTACAAAATATAACTTGTGCGTATCATCAAAATGTTGTGAAGTAACCCTGCGTATTCGATTAGCAAATCAGCAACTTATTTTGAAATTATAAACGGACATTCCGTCAAGCTTGCCAAACTCCAAAATGACAGTTACATCATGATCATTTGCCATCACACTTACTTGTGGAAGTATCGTATTTTTGAGTCCTATAAAGCTCTCGAACCCACACGACACTAGTTTGCAGGGACAAGATGAATAGTGTTTTTAAATATTTAACTTAAATACCCACATGTGTAAAAACTAGTGGGTAACAGAAATTTGTATACCCAGATAGAATTACTGATACCCAATGATTTTAAAATGCATGGGTAAAATACCAACAACACCAAAAGCTTATCTGGAGCTCTGCCACTGGATCAGTTCAACAAATCTTTCACGTGTACCACTGGATGAGTTCAACAAATCTTTCCTGTGTACCACTGGATCAGTTCAACAAATCTTTCCTGTGTACCACTGGATCAGTTCAACAAATCTTTCACTTGACCCACTGGATCAGTTCAACAAAACTTTCACGTGTACCACTGGATCAGTTCAACAAATCTTTCACGTGTACCACTGGATCAGTTCAACAAATCTTTCACGTGTACCACTGGATCAGTTCAACAAATCTTTCACTTGACCCACTGGATCAGTTCAACAAATCTTTCATGTGTACCACTGGATCAGTTCAACAAATCCTTCACGTGTACCACTGGATCAGTTCAACAAATCTTTCACGTGTACCACTGGATCAGTTCAACAAATCTTTCACGTGTACCACTGGATCAGTTCAACAAATCTTTCATGTGTACCACTGGATCAGTTCAACAAATCTTTCATGTGTACCACTGGATCAGTTCAACAAATCCTTCACGTGGTCCACTGGATCAGTTCAACAAATCCTTCACGTGGTCCACTGGATCAGTTCAACAAATCCTTCACGTGGTCCACTGGATCAGTTCAACAAATCCTTCACGTGGTCCACTGGATCAGTTCAACAAATCTTTCACGTGTACCATTGGATCAGTTCAACAAATCTTTCACGTGTACCACTGGATCAGTTCAACAAATCTTTCACGTGTACCATTGGATCAGTTCAACAAATCTTTCACGTGTACCACTGGATCAGTTCTTTGTCAAATCACAATTGTTGGACTGTGCAAATAATGCTTAGTATTTACAACATGTCAGTGTTATACAATGTTTATTGTAACAAGAAACAGGAAGAATTTGCAGACAATGAACTCACAGCGATTCCTCCGCTGACTTCCTCCCTGATGACGAGGTTCTCCCTCTTGGAGGGATGGCACAGTAGGTCATGCAGGTCTTCCTTGTGAATCTGAAACAGTTGGTTAAACCTCTAAATCATCAGCAGTCTGAAGTTTATCCACTAGTCCAAAGCCAGAGTCTAGTAAAATTTCATTTTGTCTAGAAAGCTTTGCTTATAATTTCTTTTTGTCCAACAGTCTGGAACATAATTTATTTTGAGAAGCATTTTCAGAGACAATTTGGGGGGGGGGGCTAAAATTCCAGGCCTCACAAGGATATCAAATGGTCGGCCCCTAAGATCTACATAAAATGTTAAGTGGCTGGTTTGGGCAGGAAAACTCAAACGTTTCTTGGCGCAAGCTACATCAGACAGCGATTATGACTTCCATTGATCTTTTCTATTTGTATGTTTCCAAGCTCTGTCAAAGAGAACCCATAATGAGGAAAGGGACAGTGGAACCTGAAGCACAGATACATTTCAGACTAGGGAGCAAAGGGTACTAACTATTTAATGTTGCAAGTGAGTTGGTAGTCTAATAAATTTCTACAAGATGATGATGACATTCCCAACGACAGTTGACACTACTGGACATATCTCTTAACTGTAGAGACACCTCACAGTCCTCACTCCTAGATCTGGGAGTCTCAGGGCTGTCCACTTTCTCCACCACACTGGATGACACCAGGTATTAAAGGGGGCGGTGTAAGATGCCATACTACAGGTTGGTTTATTATCTTGACATTAGTTTGAACTTGCTGTAACCACAGTAAGTTTACAACATAAACATTTCTTAGAATTGACAAAATCGTTTAACTGACAAATCATGAACTTCATCAGATTCGACTCGCCTGCTCATGAATGATTTACCAGAAAGTAAAGAAGAGTTAGAAGATTTTTATCAACTTTTTATTATTTAAGCAAGTTAAGAAATAAACGACAAGTGGGAGCCAGCACAGCCCCGAGTAGTTTATTTTCCCGGCAGAGCTTTTATTTAAGAATTGACCTTCGCTTATGTATGTATTATATTTTAAGAATTGATGAACGCTTATGTATGTGTATGATAGGGAATTCCCAGGGGTTTCCCCAGGAATGTGGAAGTAGTCTGTCAGTGTTTACGTCATTTCAAGGATACGGGGCTCGTGAAAAACGTATGAACGTCAAATTGTGTTGTTCATACACTTATGAACGTCAATTTCGCAGTCATGTGACCGACCTCTCGTCCAATGGAAAAAATGTATATCGTGTAAACTTCAAATTAAAAAATTATCGTACGATAAACAACGACCATTAGTCGTTTATCTTATAGGAGATATCAAAATTATGTACAGGCTCACTAAGGATGTTGATAAAATGTACAAGCTTTAAAAATATTTACCCAAATGTTAATAATGATGACTCCCTGAATAGAATCCGACTTTGGAAATGTTGGACAATTCCATTTTACGAACAGGTGGGTTAAGTGTGGTATTTTCACAATCATCACGTCAATTATCTGTACCTTTTCTCCCAATACCAATTGTCTTATCTCTCCCACTTGTGGATGTGATCGTTCGGCTATTGTGTTTATCTGCACTGCCCAGCTACATCTACGGGGAACAACTCACAAGATACTTCCCTCTGAGAAATAACATTGTCCAATTTACGACATCATCAAGTTGCGAGCGCATGTTCGAATCTCCAGAACTGACATCATGATAGAACAATGTTTTATCGTAAAATAAACCACGCTTCGTTTTTAATTGGTCTTTGCGATCTCATATTTACAGATAAATAGCCACGAGAAACATGTAGCCCCTACAACCCCACGTGACCAGGAGGTGGTGGGACATTTTCAATCATGTGAAATAGAAGTAGGCAAGATATACAGTATAAAAAGATATAATAGGTAAGATAGATGAGAAAGTGGATAGGAGAGAGGGGGGAGATAGAAACAGAAGATAGTGGTACCTTTATGTTTCTAAATATGCAGCAATAATAAAATAGAAAATCAGAAGTTGACTTTACAGCAGCACTCTCGCATTACTCAGCATGCTAAGTGCTCGTTTGCCGAGGTAGACGCCTACCACGCAGGGTAGTTATAGTTACCTAGTAGCCCATGCAATATTTTAGCAGTCACCATTTAAAAAGGAGCAAAATTCAAAATGTACGAAATATTCTAAAAATAAATTAGGATTCAGATTAGAGTTTGACTTTTACACATAAAGTAACATTTGTCACGACATCAAATCATGTTATTTAGGATACCAAAATCCCAAAGAGTAGAAACTTGAGAGTGAATATGACATTATTGATGTGGGGTCAACGTGAGGTAGCCATTAGACAAATTCAGGGTGAATCAAATCAGCATGGACGCCAAACTAAACCTAGAACTTGGTAACAATGAAAAACAAAATGGTCTCCAGCAAGAACTGTGTAGTACTCCAGGGTTAGAAACTAACAGTTTTTGCCCACTAGTACTTATAATGATAACATATAGCAAAAGCCTTAAAATGGGCCAATTTCTACTAGTCCTTTACTATTGGGCAGTTTGGTAAGGACTACAGGACTAGTGCCAATTTCTAACGCTGTTTAACTCACCTCAAGGTATGACACTGCGATGCTGAAGTTGCTTTCGTTGCACCTGTCGTCGATCCCCTGGAAGAGTTCCCGCAGCACTCTAGGTATCACCCCCATATGCTCCTCATCCTCGGACAGAGACGCCTCGTAGCATCCCCCCATGGTGAAGGTCTTGCCACTCCCCGTCTGGCCGTACGCCAACACTGTTGCATTGTAACCTGGGACAGAGGGACTCAAACACTGTAACCTGGGAGAGAAGGGCTCAAACACTGTCGCACTGTAACCTGGGACAGAGGGACTCAAACACTGTAACCTGGGACAGAGGGACTCAAACACTGTAACCTGGGAGAGAAGGGCTCAAACACTGTCGCACTGTAACCTGGGACAGGGGGACTCAAACACTGTAACCTGGGACAGAGGGACTCAAACACTGTAACCTGGGAGAGAAGGGCTCAAACACTGTAACCTGGGACAGAGGGGCTCAAACACTGTTACCTGGGACAGAGGGACTCAAACACTGTAACCTGGGAGAGAAGGGCTCAAACACTGTAACCTGGGACAGAGGGGCTCAAACACTGTAACCATGGAGAGAAGGGCTCAAACACTGTCGCACTGTAACCTGGGATAGAGTGGCTCAAACGCTGTAACCTGGGACAGACAGAGGGGCTCAAACACTGTAACCTGGGACAGACAGAGGGGCTTAAACACTGTAACCTGGGACAGACAGAGGGGCTTAAACACTGTAACCTGGAACAGAGGAGCTCAAACACTGTCGCACTGTAACCTGGGATAGAGTGGCTCAAACGCTGTAACCTGGGACAGAGGAGCTCAAACACTGTCGCACTGTAACCTGGGACAGAGAGAGGGGCGTAAACACTGTAACTTGGGACTGAGGGGCTCAAACACTGTAACCTGGGATAGAGTGGCTCAAACACTGTAACTTGGGACAGAGGAGCTCAAACACTGTAACCTGGGACAGAGGGATTCAAACACTGTAACCTGGGACAGAGAGAGGGGCTCAAACACTGTAACCTGGGACAGAGAGAAGGGCTTAAACACTGTAACCTGGGACAGAGAGAGGGGCTTAAACACTGTAACCTGGGACTGAGGGGCTTAAACACTGTAACCTGGGAGGGGGGGTTCAAACACTGTTGCGCTGTAACCTGGGATAGAGTGGCTCAAACACTGTAACCTGGGACAGAGAGGCTCAAACACTGTAACCTGGGACAGAGGGATTCAAACACTGTAACCTAGGACAGAGGGGCTCAAACACTGAATGTGTTCCTTTAATCTATGCTTGTTTCAAGTGTCAAATAATATACTACCAGTGAATTTCATTAGTTTCCTCTACTCCAACCAACATAACATGTGGTATCTCCAGGCTGGCACTCATTTCAGACTGTCAACTTTCAGCAAAGTACAAAATGAACAGATACACTTACCATGCTTACCAAACAAACTTTGTGTTTTAGAAGACAACACATGCCTAATACATTATGTACAACTAACAATTATGGAAAAGGGTAAATGTTGTTTTATGCCATGTCAGCAATATTCCTGCTTAATCCTGGCGACCAGTAAACAATCAAGTCTGGACACCACAAATCAGTGGCTGAAAGAATGTGCAACGATCAATGCCATTGGCGACTGATGACATACAACTACTGACAGTCATTGAGGCTGACGAGCCAGCCTTCCTTACTCAGTGCTAATGACAAACACCGGTCCTGTTAGGTAAATGGGACCTATTCTTTCCTGTTATCCCAGAAGTTCAAAGACATTGGGTGAGGTGAAATGGGTCTAACATCGCGTCCAAGATTACTGCACTTAAACAGCAACGTACATTAGGGCTTTTACAATTCACTCGCGTATTCGGTGAATCGAACCGTATCCATTCATGAATTGAATTCGTTATTCATGGTCACTAGAATCGAATATTTATGTATATGCAGTCATGTGCATCTACATACCCTGTACCTAAAAATATCCAGAAATATGCAGAAATTTCTTTGAAGACAACACTCATATATATAATTTGACAATATTGTGGTCATTGGTCATTGTGGTATTTGAGCAGATACTAGTACCTGGATAAATGCAGTATATGAATGTATAATATATTAATAATTAACCAACCATGTCAAATAATTAATGTTGTTATTTTTCACTGAATATAATAAATTGTACATTAACTGCTGACTTGTTATTGTATTTGTGAATAAATATTCGTATTCGTCACCCTATATTCATGATATGAATCGTATTCCCCTCATAGTGTATTCGTTGCAGCCCTAATGTACATGCACATGTGTGGTTGCTTGTACTAGTCCGGACCGATGCAGAGTTTATAGTGCTAGCCCACTGAACATGCTGAGGTACCTACTGCAGTTTAACATAAATATCCAACTCAGACACAGTATACTGACTCTGAGCCAACCAGTCCTTGTTTTAGCCCTTTTACAAATACCATCTTTTATAGTATTATTGTATGACGCATCCAGGGATCGAACCCCCAACCTTAGGTTCTCCGGGCGAACGTTCTACCACTAGAGCATGGGAACGGCCTCATAGACATTGAGAAAGCATCTAACTTGCAATGAGTGATGAATACCTTTAAACAAACTGTCAAGCAGTGGTTTCACAGAGTTTTCATAAACTTCACACTGGTAGTTGGAGGGTTTGAAGATGAAGTCATAGGTAAAAGCGCGATCTCTGCCGATGACAACCTGGGGCTCATTTGGGGTGAAGTTCACACACAGCTGGCATCCTTCGCCTACTTCCTTCGGGATGAGCGGGCGACACCTCACTGCCACTCGCACCGGGATCACCTTGTCAGCCGGCATCTTCAAACAACCTGAAGTAGAACATCATCCCTGTGAACCACTGGTACAGTGCAGGAAGTACATTGTGGAGAAGGGAATATGTTAGGATTTCATCATTAATTTGTTCAAAACAGACTTAGAAATTAGTTTTTAAGACCAGAAACTAGTGGAAGCTAGTCCTGCTTGAACGTGAAAACATCTTGTAAGTTTCTTTATTTGCAATTTGTGGCAGAATTGAAGCATTCAGAAGTGGTTCTGAATTATGGCCCTCAAATGGTTCTGGTCGAAAAGGACTACCAGCGTTTGAGATGTCCCCAGCATTTTTAGGTAGCCTCACCCATCGGACTACAGTGAACTTTCCTGGCAGCCAACTCATCAAATCATCAATAGAAGAACGCAGCTATTATCTGCATCTTTGACAGCAATAAATGAATTGGAACCCGAATGTGAAGCCTAGAGATTCATGTGCTAAAAAATAACGATACACACACAAAAAAAAGACATGATAATTGAGTACTACATTGTGTCTGTTAACACCTTTTGGGGGGAAATTGTTTGATAGGCATTACTTAGATATTGACGGGTGACAAGGTAGACACAATTTTATGGATAACAACTTTTTTAATACTGTAAAAGCATATATCGTTGTCAAGCAGGATCTATACCGAAACGTTGCTTTTTACAGTATTAAAGAAGTTGTTATCCATAAAATTGGGTCTATCTTGTCACCTTTTTGGGGTTCATTTATTTTGTATACTAGAGTATTGGAGGTACAGTATGTCACCTTTATTTCGTGATATAGGTGGCAAGGATGTTTTAAACCAGCGTCTTAAAAGCATACCACACAACACTGATACCAAACAGGATTTTCAGTGACACTTTTCAACTTCTTTGAACATTTTGTGATTCCTTTTAGGATACTTTGGGATACTTAAACAGAGAGGGCTGGCATGGTTAGGAGACATCACACTGTGAAAATATTACTGATCTTGCTGATCTAGTTGAGGTTTGTTTCTGTTATGTTCAGAAGTGAAACTAAGTCATACTCATGATAATGTTCATAATAAGACATCAAAGTTCAAAGTTTCCATAATCATGATAATGCTGAAAGTTGACTAATCTTGTCTTGACTACTGCATGTATTTGCTTAAGCTCCCGTCCTGTAAAATGTATCAGAAGGGGTACAACCTCCTTTAGACTCACAGCATTATTTCATTACAAACCAAATTGATTTATTGCAAAAGATGTTCTGCGGAAGATAGTGTTCGGACCAGAGATGTTTGGATATGTGCAGCATCAATAAGCATATATCTAATAAACTGCATTCCTGTGCATATTAATGAAAACTACAGAATCAATAAAAAAATATATGTGTATATTAGTTTCCCTCCATAATCCTATTATCCCCATGAATTAAGTCAAAATATAAAATATATGGAAAAAATAAGTGCTTTCATAAACCAGCACTTGCTATTCAATACGTTGCTGGCTATATTTACTAAACAAATAGTGAAAACTCTAATTTATGATCAACGTGATCTCTGATATCGAGTGAGTGAGTGAGTGAGTGAGTATGGTTTTACGCCCCTTTTAGCAATATTCCAGCAATATCACGTCGGGGGACACCTGAAATGGGCTTCACACATTGTACCCATGTCAGGAATCGAACCTGGGTCTTCGGTGTAACGAGGGAACGCTTAAACCACTAGGCTACCCGACCACCCCGATCCCTGATATTGAGGCCACAAGGTTGAGTCTGCTGTTGTATGTAGTAAACATGGTAAAAGTACACATCATAAACTATTTAAGAAGAGTACAGAATACCCAATACTTTCCATAATTATCATATGGCAAAGAATGTGCAGAGCTGCTGCCTTAGTAATGGTTTATTATAAGGGTTTTTTTTATCTGCCATGCTAAAATAACGGGGAGTCTGTGTGCTTGCCAAAGTAAATGAAAATACTACATGTTTGTTAAAATGTGTCCCTTATGGACGTCACTGATGGAACTTCTATTTATTAGCAATATTTACACATATTTGTGATCAATATTTCTGTTAATATGTAATCACTGCATAAAATTTTGTGGTGCTGAACTCTAAAGTTAGGCCTAGAAGATTCTGTTAGCACTCAAGATATTATTTGATTCCTATGACAGAGCAATCGATGCCCACCTACAATTAACCTATGACCCTTTAATTAAGAAAGAATGCAGTATACCGGACACCTTCCGCCATTTTGCTCAGGGATGTACACAAGCTCATTCCTTAATAGCGGCTTATGATTTTTTCAGACGCCATTTTTCTGTCGCCCCGCTAATTTAACAGTGGGTTTGGGGGACTTGCCCCCTACACACACACACAATGACTTGAATTAAGTGCTTTCGTAAGTAAATATAATGTTTAAGTACCAAATGAGATACAAAATATGTGTTTGTTGAAATGTGGCTCCCGTGGATGCTACTGATGAGGGTGTCCCATGCCATGATGGAACTTCTATTTTCGAGTACTTTTTTCGATGCTAATCATGCTAATGTCAAACTTTCGACTTTTATGGATTGCTTTGATATTCAATTTCAAAGTTTAATCAAATTAAACCATACAAAAGCATGTGGGGTCATTTTTCTGTTTATTTTGAACTTTATTGTCATATTTCGAAATACTGATGCTGTCGCGTGTGGCTTTATTAGTAGGCCTAGCATCAAACAAACATGGGGATAGGTGTCCAATATAATGCATGTGTGCCTAATATTTAGAACAGACAAGGAGTTGTGATGCCTTTGGAGGCTTGGTCTAAGCAATTATCCCTTTGAATCAGCCGACCAGATGCTTTGTAATAAACAATTATTGCACAAAGATCCCAAGTCGAGGTCATCGCCGGTTGATCCCTGAAACATCAACCTGGCTGTCATGGACACAGCTGGGAACAGTGGGTTCCTCTTTTGCATTTATCAACACTAAAAAACAAACCCTGGTGTCTGATATATCTGACAGTGCGTCATGCGAAAGAATCTGACCATCCACCCACAGTACATCTCGACAGCTAGATGAGTAGAATAGATCAAGGCTGCCGATCGCTATTTTTGTGACGAATTCACTCTTTAGCTGACTAATGACTTCTTGGAGGGAGACCGCAGTGAGATACACAAATATATAAACTTTACCCTCTAGTTATTCCGATCGGATACTCATAAAGTACGAAACAATCTAGCAGGGTAGTTTTATATCATGTAATCAACAAAACAACAGCATTTCCTTACCGAACGATGTCAACAACGACACATGTAGATTGAGAAATCCGACCACTTTGTGATTTGAAATGACCGCCAATGGCCGTGCAAGGAGATTGTCATGTTATTTGCGATTGGTCGACTTCCCACCAGCGCCATCTATCAGAATTGTAAATAAACGAGAGTGAAGTCCCTTGGCAATGTCCAAGCACCTGCAATAAGGAACAATAACTTCTAGCATTAAATTCCCTTTTCTATTTGATAGCTGGTAAAGTATATTTCGATATGCGATTGTATGATAAGAGCCATATCAATTTGACAAAAATATATGAAACCCGTCTAGATCGGATGGCTATTAATGTGCAATTACCATATACTTGTAAAGTATCAAGAATATTTTCCTTCGTGTAGGCTAACGAAAAGTAAATGAGACGATAACAGTCTATCTTTTTTTTTCTGTGTGTTAATAATTGATGTTTAAGCACTTAATGCTTTGTAATTTGGTTTCTAATGACTCAGATTAGATGAAGCAATTGGAAAGAAAAAGAATTTATAATAGGATCAGTCGGTCTGTGTCATTGTCACTTGGTGTCACCAAACCATATAATTATAATTATTATTTGGTCTCTGGTGTCACAAGTTGGTCTGTTAGACAACTGGAAACGCATGTCATGCTTATTGCTATGTGTTCTATTCTTCAGTGCGCAGTTTACAGTTGACACAGTTGTGATGATGGGAAGCTCTTCATGATGAAATTGTGATTTCACAACAATGAGGTAAATGCATGAAGGTTGATTGATAGCCTTCAGGAGAGATCGAATGTCATTAATTTATTTTGCAGAGTGTGTTGTCTCAGTTAGATACAGTGGCTGGCTTCAGTAAAGAATGTTTTTAATTTTATCTGCAGGGACTAATATTACTATTTTACCGCGGAAACGTCTGGTTTATTACATGAACATATGACTGAAAACCTATTGTGTGTCATTTTATATATGTATACCCAAAGGCAGAAATTATTCTAACATAAAAAAAATAATGAAAATTGGTGAAAAAAATTCCTGCTGTGGATGGAATTAGATCACATGGACAAAACAATGCCTGAAGGTATGTTAACATGCAAAAGTCCCAAGGATGAGCTCTCCTGTCATGTCACACGAGGGTGTTCATACAGAGATAAGTTCACCCACTGAGTAACAAATGTGTCCACATTGTGCATTGATGCACACCTGACGGCTTCGCCTCATTGAGGCCACTAAGCATTGAAGACAGTCATGGAGAATGGCATTCCCTGTCTGAAGAAGGATGAGCCAGAGTTCCAGAAACATCTGCACCGCTGGAGACATCAACGTCAATGTTCTGCCATCAGTACTGGCTGTCTGGCAATCTCATTAAAATCAGACCTTAGTTCTCGCTACCGCTAAACAAAGATCTGAAGACATCCCATTAGGGGTCACGTCAGAACGACCTTTCATCCGACCAATCGGTGCATCGCTTACCAGATTATGAAAGTGACAGCCGGAATGTGATTTCTAATCATGCAATCTCGAAAACTTTAGCATGAGGTATTCCGAACAATAGTTACGGGTTTAATCTAGACCATTTATTAGCCTTTCCAGAATGTTTTTTTCTGTTCAGGTTTCAAATTTATAATCGAGAATTTGTCAAAATGTGTTTCGAAGCGTAGTCGCCAATTTGAAATTAGTGCCGTAAAGCACGAGAGAGCTGCCTTCTGATTGGTCATTCCATTGGTCGGTCAAAGTTCGTGCAAGGTCGGTCTGACGTGACCCGTGATGGGATGTCCTCAGATCTTTGTTTAGCGGTAGCGAAAACAAAGATCTGATTTTCTTGAGATTGGGCTGTCTGGCAGGGCGACTCACGCCAATACTGTAGCTGTCGTAGGACAGGTATGCATGTGGTGCTGGCCATGGTAGAGGCTGTGTGAGTTGCTGTCTGTCGAAGATGCATGGTTCAAATCCTTTTGTCTTGTTGAAAAGTTGTCACAGTGGCAGACACTATGGGACGTGGTTGTTCTGTTTGATAACATCGCCGTGAGTGCCACAAGTGTGGTATGGTGAAATCTCATCAAAACAATCAACAGTAGTGTTTTTTTTATGTAAAGTTGGATATCTGGCCTGTTGAAGTAGTCACCCCAAAGTTGTTATTTCTTACCAAAAAAACATGCAATACCAGGAAAAAGTGGTTGGTTGTGTTTCTTCACACTTTTTTATAAGTATTTTCTCTGGTTAAAATCCAGAACTTCATATAATGGTTTGAAAGTGAAAACGAATCTATCACAATAAATTTTGCCTTTGTGTGTATGTGCTGCCAACATTTGACCTGTTGTATATACCTATAAGTCACAGTGAGTGCAGTCACAGTGTCACAGCATTGGCAGGTCCTTTCTCATAATGCCTTTCATTGACCTGCTCTGCTCCAAAACATCTACACAAGAAACAAGTTGATGTGTCAAATATTTTACAGTTATCCTACTTCATTTTACACAATTTGTGGGTCTTAAGCATAAGCATAAGCATATCTATTGACAGTCGTGATCAATCATCAATCTATCATGAATTACATACAGATAACTAAGGCGACGCGATTCGCTGTGCAGAGTTGCGTCCCTTGGGCACGCCAGAAACCTATGATGGTGGGTTCGAATCCCGGTTCGCCCCGATTATGTTTCTAGGTTTGTCAACACCATACCCGTGTTCGTGGGTTTCACCGAAGTGGTAAACATCTGAGACCTGCATCACTTCGGGCTTTCCTCCCACATTAAGCTGACACGCCGCGACATAACTGGAATACTGTTAAAAGTGGCCTTAAACCCAACTCACTCACTCACACATGCAGATAATTATGAAATTCCATATGCTACTGATGAGCGAAATCCAATCTAGTATGATCATCACTGGTTATAGTTCGTTCTTGGGCTCTGTGATTAAACTTGGATTGAAAAAAGCAATAAAGTCATTTCTCTTTTGAAGTGTAATGGTGGCCATGTGATCAGAAAGCACAATGGTATGAGATTTCCTTGACTTCACTGAATATCAGCAACGGCACAATATTCATCTCAGCTGTTTACAATGTTGAATGACTTGTACGTAATCTTTCATTTATGTTTATGATTTTATTTTCCCAAGTGAAAAGACCTGGTGTGTAGCAAGGCAGTCATTGAAACATGATGTATCAACTTAGCAGTGTTGTATCATGTGTATAGTGACCCTTAGACCAATATTTCCAGCATCTTCCTTAGGCAAGGGAATTAACTATCTGTAAATTCCACCATTGCCGAAACTTGGATGGAATTTCTGTGTTCAACCGTAGCGCCGCCAGTGGCTATTATGAGTTATGTCCCTTTAATGTCCCTCCTATTGACCAATCAGATTCCAATTCTGATATCACTTGCATCTGCCTCAAACAAAATGGCGGCGCCCAGTAAAGCTGATCTGATTGATAATCAAGATTTAAATTGTAATATAACGAGTCTTACCTCGCGAAGTACATCAAATCATGTCAGCACCTTGATTAAAAACATGAAAAGATTTGGAATATATCTGTTGATGCTATGCAACGGTACACATGCTTTGCAATTCCTGCAATGGACCGAACAGGATGTTGATTTCTTTAAGTGATTTTGATAGGACTATGCATAGACTCATTAGTCCAGCCAAAATGTAACTCCATTATTCCAGCCTAGTTCGGCAAGGGTGGAAACTGGACTTTTACAGTCAGTTAATTCTCTTGCCTCGGGAAGATGTATTTCCAGTACCAGTCATAACCATTCCCAGTATGAATCAACAGTTCTTCTCTGTTTCAGTTTTCAGAATAATTACAGGGTGCTTTGACTGAAGTAAATGGTAGAAGCCAGTTTGCTGACAGCACAAAAACTATATGAATAATGGCTGAAGAAAGTCCTGCATCCTCTAGCCGCTACGCCAATCAAAGACATGAGTGTGAAATATGTCACAAAGTGTTTTATCGCAACGATGTTTTCAAATGTCACATGAGGATACACTCCGGAATCAAGCCCTACCCTTGCGATGTATGTGGGAAGAGATTCGCACACTACGGCAACCGCAATCAGCATGCAGCGACTCACATAACATCAGCGTCCTTCAAGTGTGAGATGTGCGGAAAGTCCTTGACCTCAAAGATCTATTTAAATCGACATATGAAAAAATATCACCCTGACCAATATACTCCATGTAAACGAGGACAAGTCCAACCGGGGAGAAGAAACACCAAACATTTCTTTACACAAATTGTCCCAGATGTGACAAAACAAACAGAATCTCAAGATTTAGTGACATCAAACGAGGTTCGAATATACCTCCCTCCAACACTGACAGACTCTGAACACAAGGATTCCACTTTGGTTTGTACAAATGAGCCCCTCGCTGGTCAAGGTGCAGTGTTTCAACTGACGTGCAGCTACTGTGGCCAGGAGTTTGAACAAAGACACAGGTATCAACTCCACATAATGATGCACGAACTCGAACAGGGCAAAACTTGTAGTTTCTGTCACACAACATTTAGCAGTCTGGCTGAGAAGCGAAAACACGAAATGTCCCATACTGAGAAAGAAAGAAACGTACGGAAATATAAGTCACCATTAATACTGGAGAAACATACCCCGAAGAACGTCCCCAGTGAACTACCTCCACAACCGATCTCCTTTCCGACAGGTTTTTCTCCTGAAGGGCTGAAAGTGGTGGGCATTCTCTGCAGTCCTACACCAGCCGCCAGTCCATGTGTTTCAATGGACCAGCAGCTGTCCTCTCCATCTTCAACAGAAAACAATCTTCAACATGTATCTGAACAAGATTTGTTGCCAGAAAGTTTGAAAGTGGAATTCTTACCTGATGATTTGGACAACACTGCTGACAAGCTTTGAAAGATATGTTTAGATTGCATTGATATTTCTTGGATTAGTGGTATATGTTAGTCAGTAGACTTGAAGAAAATGTAGCATCTTGATACTTTCTGATATGATTACTGGTCAAATGGCCAATATTTATAGCAACTTGCCCAAATGTCCTGATTCTTGTTTCCCTGTTTCTGCTTCTTGCAGTTAGGAGCCCTGGGTAAAATAGACTTTCAGAGTGGCCATGCCCTCCATACAGTGAGGACAGTCCAGCTTTAGTGTCATCACTGCACACTCTAAAGATGGTTCATCAGTGCTGTATGCTCTCTGTGGTGTTACTGGTATTTGACGGATTTACCAAAGAATTCATGTGTGCAATCTTTGAACAAGTACTGCAGGAGAGAATAGATTTTTATCTCTTCTGAGGAACTTTGTACTGAAAGATAAATTAAGAGAGGTCAGTTATAAACAGGATATTATCTTGGATTTGATACCAATGCATGTACAAATTGGGATATATGTTATTAAGAATTTTTTACTTTTTTTAATTCAAGGGTATTCTAATATTAAATTCAATGTAATTGTGTAGCACTAAAACATTCTTTGTTCTGTTTTCAGTTCAATACAAATCACCTGTTCAGAGCTCAGACATTAGTAGTTAGTTTGATTAATAGTCTGACAGAGCTACAGATAAGAAGCATATTTGCATAAAATACCCCCCCAAAATATTCAAACCCAATTACTTTCTATCAACTTGCATACAGAAATTCATGCATTAAATGAAAACCTCAAATGTATAAAAACAGCATGTGTAAATACCCAATGAAGTTTTTCCTGCATTTGTACATGGGAGCTAATTTCCGAAACACAGTTATAAGCTAGTTTACTTTCTGAGTCAAGCCTATATATTTAGAACAGTTTTATACATCTAAAACATTATTTCATTTTTTTAATCTTAATATGTTCACTGATTTTGGGAAAAACCCAATAGAGGGATGAATAGATGAGTGAAAAAATATTGGTTACCCAATGAAAAATGTAATAACTCAATTAATTAGAAACCCTAGAGTAAAAACTCAATTACTCAAAAAGTGATCTGGAGCTCTGGTCTGAAGTTGGACATTTTTAGTTCCAATTTGTAGTTAGAATCATGTCGTTACATAGTTTTACACAAGTAGAAGTGGACATGTGCTCTTACATGTCTGACTGTCAGGTGTCAGATCATTTCTTTATTCTGCGTCATATATATGCATTCATATATTTTATATATATATAAGTGGTTTCCACATGTTATATTCTATGTCTCTAAATGTTTTTTATTGTTTTATTGTGTGCTAATTGTGCATTGGCATTATTTTGCAAGTGGGTGTTGCTAGGTTGGAGATAATACCTCATGTCTTTGTTGAAGTTTGGCATTGCCAGTTTACATGACATGTCAAATACCGTATTTTCTTGTGCGTAGTGCTCACCCAAGTATAATGTGTACCCCCATCTAGCGGATTCAGTATTTAAAAAAAATAAATTAATAATATACTAAGAATATAATTACCCCTTCTGCGAATTCCAGTAAACGAACAGGTGATAAGAAACTTGGTCAGTAAAAAATTGAAATTTGAGATATAAAATCACCAGACATGTTGATTTACCGTTTAAATTGTATTTTTTTGTCCCACTAGGCATTGTTTTACATGCAGGGATTAGATTACCTTGTGTATTTTCTTGTAAACTAAGCAGGAAACAGCAATCAGCTGTACACACGTTTTCTTGGAATCTACCAGTGATTCGGTTAAAACTTACCCAATGATATAACTTTAACACAGCTGTGTTTTTGGGGAAAAAAGTGTCACTTTACTCAAGAAAATACGGTAATTCAGCAAAGTTTACCTCATTCTGTGTTTGACAAGCTTGTGTGATTGTTGCTGTTTCCAGTTGTTGTGTGATGCACTGCCAGGTAGGGTGACATGATGCACTGCAGCTGGTACCAAGATGTTACTATGACAACAGCTAGTGTACTGGACTGCCAGACAGACCTTTCATTATAGTTTCCTTGCACTCGGCATTAAGGGGATAAAACAAGGACTGTTGGCTCGGAGTCTGTGTAGTGTGTCTGAGTGGGCTATGTTAAAACTGCGGCATGGTGGGCGATAACCATTAAACATTAGCCCAGACTAGTACAAGCAGCCATACCCACATGTTGCTGGTTGAGTTCAATAATCATGGATGCGACGGTAAACACACCCCCTCCCCCCAACCCACCCCCAAGGCTCTGTCTTATAGCTCATTAGTCGTTCTCGACTTGCCAGTATTTTATTGTGTGATATACATGTAGAATCAAATGCCATGCTACTGTGAGTAAATGTGATTTATACTTTATATGTGGCTTTGTTTTAGTCCTTTTGTTTAGGGGTGGTCGGGTAGCCCAGTGGTTAAAGCGTTAGCTCAGCACGCCAAACACCTGGAAGCTTTTTTCTGGTGTCCCCTGCTGTGATATTGCTGGAATATTGCTAAAAGCAAGGTAAAACCATTAGGCATTGGTATGAGATGTTTAAAGTGTATCACAATATTTTACAATGCACAAGGCTGTATTGTTATATGTATCACGATATATGGTATAGATCTACTTCTATATTTTTTATCAAGAAGCAATCTGATACATTAAGGTGTGAACAGAAGTTCATAAATGGAACAAAACAAGATGATGGTACAACAATGTTTTCTCAGAAAACAATCTCATTAAAATCAGACTTCAGTTTTAGCTACCGCTAAACAAAGATCTGAGGACATCCCATTAGGGGCCACATCAGATCGACCTTTCATCCGACCAATCAGAGCATCGCTTACGAGATTATGAAAGTGACAGTCGGAATGTGATTTCTGATCAGGCAACCTCGAAAACTTTAGCTAACTTTAGTTATAGGTTTAACGACTGAATCCATACAATCTAGACCATCTATTAGCCATTCCAAAATGTTCTTTTGTTCAGGTTTCAAATTTGTTAACAAGAATTTGTCAAAATATGTTTCGAAGCATAGTGGCCAATTTGAAATTAGTGCCGTAAAGCACGAGAAAGATGCCTTCTGATTGGTCATTCCATTGGTCGGTCAGAGTTCGCGCAAAGTTGGTCTGACGTGACCCTAATGGGATGTCCTCAGATCTGATTTTAATGAGACTGCTCAGTTAATGAATATGCAGCTATCTTGGGCCCTGGATGTTCGCAAAGGTATTTGTCAAGTATATAACATTAAACACATGATAAAAATCCCAATTTGAAATCACTCGATATATTGAGCATGAAAATGATATTGTGATACGTATCGTGGAAAGAATGAACCTCAATTTACTGATATACCAGGAATACCTCAAACCCTTAAAATTATGCTCACTCATTCCTAAGTTTTGTCCAATACTTACGAGGATTATCCCTGAGTCAGCAGTATTCTATCTCACTTAGGTTGGCCTGAAGTTGGAGAAAGCAAACAAAATAATAATAAAAATAATAATGTGTGTACTTACGTTGTGCTAGCCTCCATACATGAGATACATGCTTGAAGCTCTAACATGATTAGCAATCAGTGGATCAGTGTACACTTGATTTTTACTCTCAGCTCCCTGGGGAGTAAACAATGCTCCAAAACTAGTGGTTGATAACATGAGCAATTGTGACACACTGAAAACAGCTTATCCTGATGTTATCCTGATCAGTTTTTATAGGCTTTTCGCCAAGGCTTAACAATGGGTACTATGGTCCTATTCTTTCCCTCATTAGAGTCTGGACCAGACAATCCAGTGATTGACATCATAAGCATCAAATCTACGCAATTGGGATCGATGGCATGCATCAACCAAGTCGGCGAGACTAACCACCCAATCCCTTTAGTTGCCTCTTACAACACTAGTGGCCTTTTACAGCAAGCATGGGTTCCTGAAGACCTATGCCACCCACTCTGCCTGCAGTGCTTGTGCCAACTGTCAGAGGTTCTGTGATTGTTGCTGGCGTGCTCGCGGTGTATCCCACAAATGTTGACTGGGTTGAAATCTTGCTGTGTGAGGTCAGGGGTTGCCTTAATGAGAAGGACGTTTGGCAGAAGAATCTTATCTGTGTAACGTTATGCCGATAAATTCCCCCAAACTCGCACCAGCGTGCGTAGGAGATGGCTACCCACATCATCACGCTACCACCACCAAATCTGTCCACTTCCTGTATGCAGTTTCGTCCATAACATTCCTCGCAACGCCTGTAAAAGCAACATCTACCATCAGCATGGCGAAGCATAAGAACGTGACCGTCACTAAATCAAACCTGTCACCATCAGCTGTGACTATACCTTGTGACCTTGACACCATTGACATTGCAGATGTCAAATAAAGGTCCGTCAAAATGACACCTCGAACTGGTCGTCTGGCGCGAATACCTTCAACGCGTAGAGGGGGCACGGGTGGCCCAGTCGTCTAAGGCGCCGCGATTCGCTGTGCAGAGTTGCGTCCCTTGGGCACGCCAGAAACCACTGTGGGTTCGAATCCCGGTTCGCCCCGATTATGTTTCTAGGTTTGTCAGCACCATACCGTGCTCGCGGGTTTCACCGAAGTGGTAAACGTCTGAGACCTGCATCACTTCGGGCTTTCCTCCCACATTAAGCTGACACGCCGTGATATAACTGGAATACTGTTAAAAGCGGCGTTAAACCCAACTCACTCACTCATTCAACGCATAGACGGTTCCTCACACTTTTGGCTGATATTCTACGCAGTCTTGGTATTGCTGTAGTTGTAGAGGTGTCCGTGGTGGTTCTTTCACGTCAGTGATGCAGCCGTATGAATCTGTCCTGTGTTCTGGTACAGAGACCATGGTGGTAGTGATACATGGTCTACCGGATCTGGGAAGGTCACATGTTGTCCTGTGTCTCTGATAATGAGTCCACAGTTTTGTAGTGGTGCTATCTGGCTGCAGCTGAAGGTGATTCTCCCGTTTGCACTCGGCCGATGTCGTTGTTGAGTTTGGCTTCAGTTAGTCGTGGCATGTTTTCGCTGTTCACTTGCTGTAAGATTGTGATGGCATGCAAATGAAAACCCAACGTTTTTATAGCCAAACAAGTGATGTTGCACATGTCATATTGTGTTGTGTTTTTGCGATTTTTCGAACTTTTGTCCAAATTTCTGCAGTACCTCATTCTTTCCACACATAGTAATCCAAATCCATGGAGAAATGTTTGGTATAATGTTTGTATGGATATCGGCAACACTCTGTCAGGTATTTACGATATTACTACTTTTGCGTTTCATTTTTTGCAAAGTGTACAACAGAATACACACTGACACCATTACACAAAGGAGTACACACTGAGTATATTATACAAAGGCGTATACACTGGGGGCATTATACATAGCAAAATACAGAACAGACCCATTCTATCCCAGCAAGGGACCGCCTCCGTGGTCTAGTGGTAGAGCGTCCGCCCGGTGAGCGGAACGTCCGGGGTTCGATCCCAGACCGCGTCATACCAAAAGACGTTAAAAGATGGTACTTGTTGTTACCCTGTCTGGCGCTCGGCATTAAGGGGCTAAAACAAGGACTGGTCGGCTCGGAGTCAGTATACTGTGTCTGAGTGGGGTATTCATGTTAAACTGCGGCATGGTATCTCAGTGAGCTAGCACTATAAATCGGCATCAGTCCGACTAGTACAAGTAGCCACACAAACACACACACGTACATGCACGTCGCTATATCTAAGTGTAATAATCTTGGACGCGACGTTAAACCATATTTCACCTCACCTCACCCAGCAAGCTGTCATCCAAAGTCGGGCTGCCCAACATAAAACGTCTGTAGTTGTTCCCACTGATAAGGCCTCAGATAAAAGCAGCATTATATGTAAGAATCATTGCACTTATTTTCTAGCTTTGTAAAAGTGGCAACTCAGAAAGAAATCTGCCCAAACCATGCATAAGTACTATCAACTTTTGACGTGACTCTTCACCTGAGGACATGTCCATTCCCCTTTTTACTGGATTCCAAAGCTCCATAAAAATCCATACACAGAGAGATAACAGTAATTGTTGCTCGGTCCAGCTAATGTTCCACCAGATCCCTGTCTCAACGATTAACCATTATTCTTAATACAATCTAGGAAGGACTTTCTTTATATTATACACAGAAAGTATTTGAGACAAGAGGAATCAACACATGTGGATTCTCAAAAACTGAAAGGATTTGCTTGACTTTTTAAAACCTCATAAAAAAACCAGGTTCAATTCTGTCAAAACATTTGATTTTTCAACAATGTTCACCTCTATCCCCGGGGCTTTCGGGTAGCCCAGTGGTTAAAGCGTTCGCTCGTCACGCCGAAGACCCGGGTTCGATTCTCGACATGGGTACAATATGTGAAGCCCATTTCTGGTGTCTCCGCCGTGATATTGCTGGAATATTGCCAATAGCGGCGCAAAACCATACTCACTCACTCACCACTATCCCACGTGACAAAGTTCATTCCTTGATCCGAGGGACTTTTGTTACGAAATGTGGCGACCATAGATACAGTTACATGTGTATCTTCAGAGGTTCGGGGCAATTTGT